TGGGTATAAAATTCCGTTCCATTCTCTCCCAGAGAAATCTTACACGAGCAATAATAGATCTGCAATAAGAAATACATCATTCGTATCAGAATCTATTTTAAAACTAATAGAAGAAGGGCGCATCCAAGAGTGTACCTCAAAACCAAAGGTTGTTAATCCACTGTCGGTATCTATTCAAGCAAGAGGCAAGAAAAGGCTGATTTTAGACTTAAGGACAGTTAATTTTCACATATGGAAAGAAAAGGTCAAATATGAAGATCTTAAAACGGCAAGTTTGTATTTAAGCAAAGGAAAATTTATGTTCTCTTTTGATTTGAAGAGTGGATACCATCATATTGAGATTTTTCGAGAACACACAGAGTATTTAGGGTTTGCATGGACCTTCGGCTCCCACATAAGGTATTTCAAGTTTCTGGTACTACCATTCGGCCTTAGTTCCGCACCGTACCTGTTCACAAAGATCATGAGAGTGTTCGTCAAAAAATGGCGTGCAGAAGGGAAAGAAATTGTCCTTTACTTGGACGACGGGTTAGGAGTCGGGAATTCAATGTCAGAAACCAAAGCACATTCTCAGGCCGTTCATAAAGATCTGATTCAGGCAGGGTTCATACCAAATGACGAAAAATCTCATTGGGATCCTCAACAAACATGTCAGTGGCTAGGATTTGTTTTAGATACAGAGAAAGGAGTGATCTCCCCGGTGCAGTCCAAATTACTGCGTATAAAAGATGATGCAAACAAAGCTATGAATAATAGGAATGTACATGTTAGATCCTTGGCAAGCATAGTTGGTCAAATTATAGCGATGACCCCATCAATGGGTAATGTGACAAGACTAATGACGAGAGTTATGCTATCCAATGTTCAGTCAGCTCCCTCCTGGCATCATACAATACATCTTACAACAGAGGCAAAGAGAGAACTAGAATTTTGGATTAAGAATATCAATGGGCTAAAACCAGTGCCTATGAAACCTGATTTCACATACCAGAAAGTGGTTTATTCCGATGCAAGTGGTGTAGGAGCAGGGGGATACGTAGTACAGGTTAACGGTGCAGTTGCACACGGTAATTGGGATGAGTGCGAAAAATCACGAAGTTCCACATGGCGAGAATTGAAAGCAGTTGAAATCGTACTGAAAAGCTTCCTCCCATTGCTCTCTGGCACAAGTGTCAAATGGTTCACAGACAGTCAAAATGTAGTCAGTATCATAGAAATAGGTAGTGGAAAACAAGAATTACACCAATTAGCATATTCCATATATTCCACATGTGTAGAAAGATGTATCAATCTGAAAGTAGATTGGATTCCAAGATCACTTAATGATAAAGCTGATAGCTTAAGCCGCTTGGTAGACTATGACGACTGGTCACTTAATGATTCGTTATTTCGTAAGTTCGATGCATTATGGGGACCTCACACAGTTGACAGGTTTGCAAATTATTACAACAGGAAAATAACCAGATACAATTCTAGGTTTTGGAACCCTGGTGCCGAAGCGGTTGATGCGTTTACAGAATCTTGGACCAAGGAAAATAATTGGCTAGTTCCTCCAATAAGCTTGATAGCAAAGGTGATCCTACATCTAAAAGCAAACAAAGCTATAGGTACCCTAGTAGTACCACATTGGCCATCTTCGCCATTTTGGCCACTGATCACAGATTCAGCTTCAGGTCAATATGTTCCTCAAGTAATCGCATTGAGACAATTCTCAGCCTCATCCAGATCATTCGTTGTGGGTAAAAGCAATCACACATTATTCAAGGAAGAATCACCTCGGTTCCAAATGCTTGCACTGAGACTTTCCTTTATTTGACAAAATAAGGTGAAGTTACACCTGAGGATTATAAATTGAGTTTGTATATAAGTGTCAGCAGATAGTGATTGGTAAGGAGGAAATATGAAATAATAGACCATTATCATGTTACGGCCATCGTGAAGTTCCCATTCAAACCAATGTAACCAAAGATAAAAAAAAAAAAAAAAAAAAAAAAAAAAAAAAAAGTAAGGTTGGTTTCCTTGCACAAAAACATTCAGTATGTTAATGGACATAGGGAACATGACTAAAATGATGACAGCATGATAAGATCTATACTGAAATGGTTAAAAAAAAAAAAAAAATGAGCCATGATAATACGAGTTAGAAATTGAGTTATTATATTAAAACAGGCTGCCGAGTCGTGATAATACGAGGAAGAAATTGAGTTATATATTGTTATATATTGGAAGTAGGCTGCCGAGCCGTAATAATACGAGGAAAAATTGAGTTATAATTAAAAAGGCTGCCGAGCTTTGATAATACGAGGCAAAACAAATTACATAATGTTACATATTAAAGCAGGCTGCCGAGCCCAGATAATACGAGGACGGGATAGTGATGGAATTAGAGAGGAAGCAATATGTGGTTTGGTTAGGAACACATTTTTGATGAACACATTACTGGCCGGTTTACATATTTTTTCCCAGGTGCCGTGGCTGAAAGCAACGTACATAACCGATCCGGTTATGAAGGAGCTATATGCCAAACTACCACAGGCGGTGATGCAAGACAGGGCAAGTTCAACAGTATCGCAGTACTCCAACGGGTTCCAGAGGTGGAAGAAATGGGCACAAGCAAGGTCACAACCAGTTCAAGTTCTCCCTGCAACTCCGTTGGACGTAGCCTTGTATCTTCTGAGCATCATGCAAACATCCAAGACACCAGCACCGGTCACCTCCGCATTCTATAGCATCGCATGGGCACATAGGCTAGCCTCTGTACCGTCTCCAACAGAACACATGCTGCCAAGATCGGTACATGAGGCTGCCAAGAGAACATTATCCAAGGCCAATCTCAGGAAAGAACCTTTATCGCTTGAGATAATACAACAACTATGTCGCAAATATCCCCTGAGGACAATACAGCTGTATTCATTGAGGACCATCGCCATGATTGTGATTGGATTCGCAGGCTTTTTCAGATTCAATGAACTATCACATATAAAACGTTCAGACCTTGCATTTACTAATACACATGTCAACATCTTTGTCGAAAAAAGCAAAACCGACAAATATAGGGATGGTTCATGGGTTCTCATCAGTCGATCTGGAGAAAATACCTGCCCAGTAGCTATTCTTGAACATTATTTGTCTTTGTAACTTGAGAGAAAACTCAGATGAATATATATTTCGTTGTTTTACTCAGTGTAAAGACGGTCTTAAACTTAGAGAGCATAATTCACCTATCTCGTATACCAGAGCTAGAGAAGTGTTTCTAGAAATGCTAAAAGAAGTAGTTCCTGATACTAGTAGGTATGGTCTGCATAGCTTACGCTCCGGGGGAGCAACATTAGCAGCTAACAGAGGCATTCAGGATAGGCTACTTAAAAAGCACGGTCGTTGGGTATCAGATACTGCCAAAGATTCCTACATCCAAGAAGCTATATCAGAAAAGATAAAAGTGTCGAAATCATTAGGTCTATAAAAAAAAAAAAAAAATTAAAATAATAATAATAATAAAAAATTCCAAGAACGTAAGATAATTGACAGAACAATGTATACGTAGAAGTTATGTAAACAAAATACAGCAGCCCCGTTCTTTACCGCTGCAAAGCCTGTCGGTGACAAACCCAATGTTGTAAACAAATTGGAGTGATGTGGAGGTTATTGAGAAATGATATTTCGTTCGGCTGAACCGGGTGAAATAGAACGAAATTAAGTTCTCAATTGGAATATCACTCCGCTACGCGGAGGTGAAAAGGAGTTAGTAGGTGGTATAAATAGAGAGGGATAAAAGGGTTGGCTTCATCTGCGCGCCGACAGGCAACGAGTTCACACACTATTTTAATTGTTACTTTAAAACAAATGTGATGCTGGGAATGGAGAGCTTAATAGGTCTAACAAAATCAGTACTATTCGTGGGGTTTTCCAGAGTATTTTCTCCATGAGTTTTTTATCTCTGGTTTTTCACTCCGTGAATGTGCAGATTTTGTTCGGAGGATATGCACAAGTAAATAAATCATAGGAGTCAACTTCATATTAAAACATCTTGGTAGAATGTATTTTGATTATAAATAATACTGATAAATAAACAAACAATAATGGTGAGATATACAAAGATAACTTATGGAAATGAAGGTCAATAATTAACTGCTATGTAAGCATGACCAAGAAACAAGTTAAATATAGGAATGAAGATATTATTAAAATGAAGGGTTGAGAGAAATGACTTGGAAGTTGCATAACCCTGCTTAGAAATAAAGGTCATTAAATTAATTAATAGTTTGCTTTACAAAGATATGTAATAGAAATGTTGAATTATCTTTAAAATAATAACAGTAATAAACGGGTAACACTGCAAAGCCTGTCGGTGACAAACCCAATGTTGTAAACAAATTGGAGTGATGTGGAGGTTATTGAGAATGATATAAATTCTCGGCTTGGTAAGTGCGAGCCGCCGCCCAGTCGGTAGAGTGCCGATCTCAGATTATCAATCTTGGGGTTGGCGGTTCGAGCCCCAGCTTGACACCAACGACACTTTTTGTTTACTCAGAGGGAGGGGGTGGGTTGGGGGGACTGACGACGACACGTGACTTTTGACGTCACCACCCTTTGCAACTGCAGGTTCATATATATTATATATTTCCCACATGGTAAGTGCGAGCCGCCGGTAGCCCATAGTGTCGTTCTCAGATCATCTATCTTGCGGTTGGAGGTTCGAGCCCCAGGTTGTCACCAACGACCTTATTTTTTTCCTCAGAGCGCAGGGGGTGGGAGAGGGACTGACGACAACACGTGACTTTTGACGTCTTCATCCTTTGCCACTGGACGTTTATATGTATTAGTACAAATCGGCTCGTTGGCCTGAAAATCGAATGGGACAACATAACCATAGACAAGTTCTTTATGTCTATGAACATAACCGATGGCTGTTATTGCAGAAGTGCGCCATCTATAGTCCAAAGTGAAAAATTCAAGGTACGGCTCCTGTCCTTCTTTTACGTGATTATATAGTGCAATATGATGGGGGGACCAGTCTATTGATGAATCAAGCGGAACTTTTCAATTTTGCAAACTTGGGCCCTATCTTTAGAGGCTAGTTTTTCTAAATCTAACTAATAGTACATGTAGCCTACTTATAGTTTTTACCATTAGTAGATATAGATCCAGACTAGACTGATAAACAAATGATCCGTATATAAGCCTAATGAGCATTACACAGTATGGATATTCCACCCGTGCATCACTGCTTTTTGGTAATATGTGCTGAGTGCTCTCACACTCACTTGTGGTGTGTCATGTGTGTGGTGTCTTAGTTTAATAATAGCTCCATGTTATTGCTAATGCTAGCCCCATAAAATGTGGCCAATTTACTGGACTAGTCAAGTGTATAGGCCACATTTATGGGGCTAGCTCCATGCATGATACATATCGCATGGATCATGATTCTACATATAGTACATGTCAGTGACATGTATGATGTAGTTCTTTTTATAACTTGGAAAACCCAGCTCTAGCTACATGTAGCTTTAAATAGACCCGTGAACGTGGCGTTGTAGTTTACAAGCCACGTTCACGGGTCTACATGTAGCTCTGATGAGAAACTATATCATGTATGTGGGGCTCTGCGGTACGTAACCCCCCGTAAGCTCATGACATGCCAGTCATAATGAGCCTTATAATTAGCCCCATTCTGTGGCCATAGACTAGGCATTAGCCCCATAAATGTGGCCAATTCACTGGACTACCTCCGTAAATAAAAGGCCAACTTTGTCAAGTGTTCATTTTCACATTTAGACTTTGTTAGCATGGTTAGAAGCACACTAAGTTCTCAACCTCTTTAAAAGTAGTCCCCCCTTCAGACGTCTATATTTCATGTAATTTCCAGGTTCGTTTGCACACATTAGTGAAATTACCCAGAAAAAAAGACATCTAAAAAAGGAGGGGGACTACTTTTCTATCTTGATATAAGGTTTACGTGCAAATGTTTTCACAATTACAATTGCAATAGTTTAGAGTTGAAACCTTCATACAGTGGTAGTGGTACATGTACATGACACGTAGGCCTATTTGTCACTTCTTTTTTTTTATCTTGTCCAATTGAAGTTGTCTGCTGAAAACGAAAAGATCACAAGAAAACTGAAGAAACTGAAAAAACGGAACGGTGAACTAGAGCTGAAGTTGAGAGACATTAATGAGAGTCTGAGCCGAGAAAAACTGCTGCGAGATCACATCCAAACTAGAAGGTACGGGTAAATGTAATTAATTAAATGACAGTTTTTGTTGATCCCCCCCCCCCCCTCCACCCGAGTTGTAATGAGTCACTTCATTTTGTGACTCCAGTCGAGTCATTTCAGGGAAGTGAGTCATTAGGTCAAGAAGGTTGAGTCGAGTCACAGTGTGTGGTTGAGTTGAGTCGAGTCGAGTCATGATAGTTCAGCTATATTCGAGTCATTTCGAGTCACTGATATTTGAACACCATGTAATAAATTACAGAACGGAAGAAGGAGTTCGCAAAAGGCACTAGTTTATTATGAAGATCCAAAGACTTAACGTGCTGCGTGAGTGCGTGGTACCCAATAGACAACTTCTGCTGGATTTTTTTTTACCATGGCTTCGGGTTTGGAATAATTTTTATGCAGAGAACATCATAAACCAAATTGCAACATACATTGTACAAAACTACGGTTTCTGATTAGGTCATAAATTTAGCCCAAGTTCCGTCAAGGGCTTAAGAAATCGCCTGAAGCCGATGATGAAACCAAGAACTGGGAAATATGTTTAAAGTCTGGTTCCAGTATACATGTAGTAGTTTGTGTGCTACATATAAAACAACGAGGTGGGAATCTGTGATGCGGGTATATTTGTATGCGATAAGCGGCCACAACTTGACGGTAACGCGAAGTACTGTACGCGAACATAAATGACTTTGAACCGTAAGTCACTGCAAATATATTTTGGCACAGTTTTGGGACTCGAGTGTTTTTAGCCTTCGACTCGAGGCGAGTTGAGTCTTCTGTCTGATGAGGGACTCGAGTCGAGTTGTATTTGCTCGCAGTGAGTCGAGTGGAGTCCAGTCAATTACCTGTTGGGACTCAAGTCGAGTCGAGTTGCCAAAAATTGTGACTCGAGTCGGACTCGAGTCGAGTAATTGACTCAAGTTGAGTCATTGACTTGAGTCATTACAACTCTGTCCCCCCATAATTGGGACTATTGCAACTATACATGTAGTTGGTGGGCATTGTAATAGTTTGGGTGTAATATCATGAATATTGCTGACTTATTTAACTGCTGTGTTTCAACTCTGTCCCCTGTCTCATGAATACAACCAGTGTTACCGTGCAGACTGATCCACCGGGCTACAGACCCTACCTGAGGCATCTACAGCCCACCACAAGAACCAACAAGCAAGACAATACTGATGAGCAAAAGAAAGCAGACAGGTGAGAACATTCCTACTGATATAACTGTCACAAATCGTCAAAAAAAATTCTATCCACTTCCGAGCAAAAAAGATATAACTAAGAACCATATACATGTACATGTACAAGCATTATAGAATACATGACATTTTGGCTGGCAAGTGGCAACCCATTCTTGTTAAACAAGTTTATACAACGCCTGAATAAAATCCTGTTATCTGATTGGTGGGTCGTGTCATGAATTATTCGTCCCAATTCACGGCGTGGCCGCACCACAAAAATAGAAGTTCTATTCCACGGTAAATGAAAGTTCCATTGCACGGTCACACTATTGGTGGGTCTGACCAATCAGATGACAAGGATTTATTCAGGTGTTGTATCAAACAAATAATGAATGTTTCACATTTGTGCAAGAATACTTTCATTCACTGACAGGCGGGATGGAACATTCCAAATTATTCTTACCATTGCACTCACAAACATTCATTATTTGTATATTATATGCCTACAAAAGTTAATATTTTTCGTTCGTATTCAGATTACTGTCAATGCACAACAAGCTGATGAAACGCTATGAGAAGGAGCTGAAGACCAATACTGCACACACAGAAACTATTGCAGCATTAAATGTAAGCCAAATGTAGAAGCATAGCCCTAACAGTCCTGAATCCTCCAATTTCAATACGATTTTGCACACCCCCTAGGGAGTTAGGGTTAATTAATTCATTAAAACAAAAATAACGATGACCGCGGCCAACTTCTTGAATTTGGACACTGTATAGGAACAAGTTTTGTTACTTTGTTTATTTGAAGGATCTGCTTATGAAATTAGGCCCTAAAGCTGCTCTATTTTGCAAGAGCGCTTGCATCATTTTCCAAAATGATGACCGCGGATATGGAAAACTTTTCAGATTTCGGCCAGTTTGGGTAAAAAACTTAAATGTTTGTTTTCTCCCTCGATCCTGACTTTGGTGAGCTGAAAGCTCTTGTGGATTCATTTCTGGCCTCTACCCACCTTGTGTGAACATTTGACCAAGTTTTGTGAAGTTGGATTTTTGGGCCAAAAATCAGTATTTTTGATGACCGCTGATATGGAAAACTTTTCAGATTTCGCCCCTTTTGGGTAAAAAACTGAAATCTTTGTTTTCTCCCTGGATCCTGATTTTGGTGAGCTGAAATCTCTTGGGGATTCATTGCTGGCCTCTACCCACCTTGTGTGAACAGTTTACTTAATTTCGTGAAGTTGGATTTTTGGGCCAAAAATCAGTACTTTTGATGACCGCGGATATGGAAAACTTTTCAGATTTCGGCCATTTCGGGTACAAAACTGAAATGTGTGTTTTCTCCCTGGATCCCACCCGTTATCCAAGGAGCCAAGAGTCTCCTGGATAATGTCTGATATGTCTAGACATGCAGATATATGCAAGCCACGCGCCAGCTAATCGAAGTCGACTTTACTAAATCGTGATGTCATTTCATTCCCAAATCAGGACTAAATGGTTTGATTGGTCAATTCGAATGCAGTGTTTTGTAATGCAACAACAGCCGGGTGCACTATCGCATAACATGATACAGAGCGCGTGACACAGGTTTTTTTTTTTATCCTTTGTCTATGACGCGCAACGGGTGAATGACCGAAAAACCGATATAGAAAGTGCCCGCTGATTGGCAAAATCTAGAGGTCAAGAGGCGGTTGTCTTGCCTAAGTAATCAGCAAATCTGCTCACATATCATAGACTGCTAATTTTCTGCTTAAGCAGCTCCATGGCGTGGGTGGCATGGGTGGCTTGTGTGTAAAGCGCTCGCTTCTCACCACTGTGGCCCTGGTTCAAATCCCGGCCGCGGACCATAAATGCCATAGTGAGTGGAGTTGTGCGTTGGTTCTCTCCTGTGCCACGAGGGTTTTTCTCTGGGCCCTCTGGTTTTCCTCCCTCCGCAAAAATCAAACACTTTCGATCTCAGGCTGTGCTCCGTGGTCATATATTGGTCGATGTGGCTGGCTGCCAAAGGCGCCTTTAAATGCCTTTGGAATCGACCACATAGCCGCGTCCTTCGCAATTCAACTTCTCAGCTACAAGTATTAGGATGATTAGCCTCCCCAATTATTAAATTATTATTAGACCCAGATACTCATGTGTAGGGCATGTAGTGGTTATATGGCTAAAATTGCCATGTTACTATTTTGACCAGACTTTTCCATCTCATTTATTTTCCAGCTGAGAATTCAAGATTTGGAGAACCAGCTGCATCGTTCCAGGGAGCAATTCAGTCGTCTGGAAAGGTCATTGACCCCAGGTGGTCGCAGGAGGCGTGCTGGAAGCCGCTCTAGAAGTGCCTCGCCATTCACAAATACCCCAGGTGTGTTTGTGCTTTTGGAGAATCATTGATCTATGATAAGAGTTTGAATTCTTTGTCATTTCTAGTTGCGGGATAGCAGCTCATAACATCATAAATCATGTCTCTCCTTTAAACAGGCATGCAACTGCGAAGTCACAAAAAAGAGGAAATTCACATCTTTCCAAGACTTTGTACAGTGTTTTCCTATTTTCAATGGCACACATGGGGAGTACAAAAGAGGAAATCAGCTGATCCGAGGAAAAGTTGCATGCCTGTTTTAAGTTAGCTAGTATATTAGTTAGTTAGTAACGAAACATTGACAATGTCTATTGCTCCTCCCATATTTTGACCGATTTCAACCAAACTTTGTCAAAAGAATCAGTAGCCCAGCCCCAACATGTCACATGACCAAACTGGGGTCAAATGTCATCATATGGTCACTGGGGTCAAAAAACTGATGTTTTTACTAAAAACACTGCACCTTCCAGAAATTACATGGCACAATCACATGACTCATGCATGATCATGAATTCGTTGGCCCGCAGCTTCCGAGATATTTCCGATCGAGCTTGTTTTGTATACATGTATATTGTAAAAAATATTTACCCTCTTATCCTTTTTTGCCACTTTTTAATTTTGTAATTATTATTATAACTCTATCTGGAAATAAAACAAAGGATTCCACAAAAGTGCCCTCGGCACCATAGCTCGCAAGCCTGTAGAAACCTGTAGAGAGAAGACAATGAGAAGAAATTACAGCTTCAGAGGTGGGAGGAAAACCCCTGATGAATATTCTGGGGAAAACCCACGGAATCCGGTAGAGACTGAAAACCCAGTCCACATGTGGACCAGGGCAGGAATCGAACCCGGGTCACAGCAGTGGAAGGCGAGGAAAGAACCGCTGCGCCAACCTGACTCCCTGATTCTTTTTCTTGTTGCAGTTCAACAGTCAGAGTTTCGGCATTTGAAGAAAGAGAGAGACCAGTTGGCCAAGGACAAAAAGAGACTCAAGAGGGAGCTACAAGGACTGGATGAGGTAAATTAAACAATTGCATCAGAAAACAAGTTAAAAGATGAACTCTCCACGGTATTTTCAAGTTTTGCCCAAAATATGGATTTTATTTTTCAGTTGCTATTTTTCTGCATGTAAGTAAAATACAACAGTTGTTGATTTTAGAATGAGACGTCAAATGAAAGAAATTGGCCAACATTTAGCTAGGGAAACTTACTTCAAAGTCTTTTTTGTTAATAGTTCAGTCAAGGAAGGGTAGACTGGTTCCCTTTCCTTTTTGGGACCTTTAGAGGATTGCTGTTCCCATGCATGCCATGTAAAGCAATCCGGTTCGTTAGTTATTTAGTGATGCCACTCAGTTTAAACCAGGCCCACTGCACGTTTAGTACCATTGGAACCGGAAGTTAATGCAACTTGAGTGTTTGTCCAATGGGCGCTAGTAAACAGTGGTGCGCCCGCGTGTATGATAAAGTCACTAACGAACTGGATAGAGCCGGAGTACCCTAAGTCAAGTGCCTAAATCTACTGAAGCCGAGGATGAAGCAAGGATTTGAAAATAATTTTCTCTGGCTTTTGGCTTCACCTGCGATTCTCATAATTTCAATTTCAATGTTCCCGAGTCAGAACATGGAGCTTTATCCGGTTTGTTATTGTGACGTCACTTTAGTTTAATCCACGCCCACTGCACATTAAGTAGCATTGGAGCATTGGAAACGAAAGTTAACGCAACTGACTTTTTATCCGATGGGCGCTAGTAATCAGCGGTGCGCGTGCGTGTACGACAAAGTCACGAACTAACTGGATAGAAGCTGGGCACTACAGTCCAGTATTGGTGGCTAATTATAATTATGACTTTGCAGTTACACAAACAAAGCTACATTTCCTTGGCATATTGCAATATATGTTCCTTTTTCCCCCCATTTTTTGCAGGGCTTCTTTGATGAGATTGAGGATCTGAAGTACGCCCTACAACAGTCGGCAAAGCTAAATAAGGAATACGAGAAAGCACTCCGACGAACCTGCAAACAGTTTGGCGTTCCATACCCAATGACCAATGATGACGTCAGAGTGACATCATCACGGAGAAGAGCCACGCCCAGATGACAGTCTGTACTATAGATTGGTTTCTCTTAAGGGGGATACCAAAAATATTTGTGAAAAAAATCTGGAATGATAATACTGGGTATTTAGTTATAAAGCGAACGTATCCACCAGGACTAGTGCTCATCAAGGCGCTACATCATTATTACCCCTGCTCATTGGGCCCTGCCCTCACAGGTACCCATAAACTGTCCCATTTACTCCTGGGTAGGGAGAAGCAATGAGTGACAAACTGCCTTGCCCAAGTGCACAAGCACCATAACCCCAGGCTGGACTCGAACCCACAACCTACAGTCCATGAATCCAATGCCCTTAACGAGGCCACAGCACTCCACACTTAAGACCCTTTCAAAAAGTCCATTCCATAATTGTATATAGTTCCTAACTTTGGGGTTTGCCATACACTGTAGATTCAATTTATTTAACCAATCGTGCCAGTTGTCAGTTTTATACCATTTTTGACCACATATTTTACAACATCCCTAAGTTTTCTTGAAATAACAGAAACATGCTCACACAGTCTGCTCAATTTTTTTTTAATGTTTATAAAATAGGAGTTTTATTTAATAAAGGACTTTGAAATAAATACTTGTATATTAGACGGTGGAGTTGTGTGCCATTCATACAAATTAACTGCAAAAAGGTTACCTCCCATTTTGCTTAAGAATAAAACAAACAATATTGCATCACATATGTCCAATAATCTCTATTTGCCGATGCTCCAAACTACACCCATGATGCTAAAGACCCAATCTCATTTCACAATATTAAAAACAAAAATTATGTTAAAAACTCAACTGTGAGTATGTGACCCTAAATGGAAATGGATTATTTTAGTACTGATGAATTGGAGGAAATGTATTGCTAACATTGTCATTAAATATTGGGTGAGAAGTGCATGATTATCAATTTTCTTACAGAAAATTCAAAAAAAACTTAAAGGGAGTATACATGTGTACAGCATTTGTAAACATCAAAAAACAAAACTACCAAATTATTATGAAATACCTTACTGGACTGTTAGTGAATGACAGTCTAAAGCATCCTGTAAAATCATGGCGCCTGGTGTGCTAACATTTTCAAGAAAAGTGGAATTTTCGTATCAATTTCCAACGCTGGTCGGCCACCCAGCGTTGGAGAAAAAAAAACTGGCTTTTTGTTTTCAAATACTGCCCCCAACTTACCATATTTAGTTAGTGTAAAATGCTCATAGGTGGGCTACGCATGAGTTACGCGAGGGGTCCGGAAGCTCGCCGCGTGACCTTTTACTTTCAGACTAAATTCTTCACCGCTGATGCCATCCACAGCTAGCTTTTCCCCCTAAATCTATCAATCCACCCATCAGGGTTCTAGCATCTCCCCCATCATTGACCACCGGGCACTGAACGGTTTGACAGAGCAGTTGTACCTCTGCGATAGTCCCACTGCTTCCTGCTCCTCGCCCTCCTGGTTTAAATAATCCAAAATGAAGTCCAATTTCTCTCTTCTGTTCTGCAACGTTCTCATCATGTTCTCAAAGACGGCCAGGTCCTTCCCACGCTGGCAGCAGTCTAGAGCTGCCACGCTGATCGGGTGCGCCTCCGTGTTGAAGATGTAACCCCCAGCGTTCAGAATGCACTCTCCCTGGAGGGTGGGGACGACGTCACCCTTGCCACCAGTGTTGTGGATGAAATTGTCCCGGTCAAACAGAAGATACAGGTACTTTGTGGTTTCGGAGAGGAAGAAGGACTCCATGCGATTGTCCAGCTTGTGATTCCGCACATCTTTCACCTATTAACGGTTAAATATTACAATAGAAAGTGCTGCTGAGTATAATGTTCATCAAAAGTAGTCAATGTCCTACAATGTAATTGACCTATTGCTGTTTGTGAGTTAGCCACGCCCCTTTGACAATCCTATGTGTGTTAAGTTTTGTTTGTCTCAGTTTTGCGCGTTCCGCGTGCAGTTGTATATCATGTACTTGGACAATATTTCACAAGCTGCGTTGACGCGATTCTACCATGATAGGTTAATTCCACGTCTCTGGGACGGCAATATTTGGGGAAAGTAAAAAGCTTCAGAGAGTTGGCAAGTCAGTGACTACACATGATTGTCTTGGCAATCTCTTTGAACTCGACCTTGCAGTGGCCCTATCGCTGTCCACCTGATCTGATCTACATCCCATCCTAGTCTCAACACAGCCTCAAAATCATGGCAGATGGTGGATTTAGAGTCCCAAACCAAGCACTGCGTCATTGGCACATTGACCTTTGACATAGGGAATTAATATGTTCAGGCTAATACACCAGGAACGTTCTCACCCACAAACGGCTTGAACGAAGGCCTTTGTACATCTTCATTGTTGAATTTGTTACAATGGGAAAATTATGTTTATTCATGAGAAAAGAACAAGGATGTCACATCATTGTTATTATTTAGTCAATTAGTAACATTTAAAACAACGACAGCAGTCATCAAGCTGCCACAGTAGCCTAGTATTACGAGATGAGCTATGGATTAAAAGGTCCCTGGTTCGAATCCTGCTATGTCCATTTTTCCAAAGACTGCTCCAACTTTATCGATAGTTTTTATTGAAGGGAGAAAACGAAAACCTAAGTGTCTTGCTGTGATTCTAAGAAATTCCTGAATTATTCGTATGTGGCTTAAATAAATGTGTAAGAAGCCGAGTGGTGTGCCGTGCTCCATTCATGCAAAATAACGTCGAGGAAAAACAATAGTGTGACGTCACAGTAGGGTTTTAACTACAGGTATACGCATAGGGTGCAACATTCCCCATGATGCATGAGTGTACTGGGGAACAACAACATCATTCTACAATGATGCCTCCTGTCATGTGACCAAGCTTGGTCACGTGACGGGTCACGTGAGGGCCTCAACAACACCAGTTGACAAAGACACCGTGATGGTGTCGCAAGCTCCTGATACGAGTTCTGTAATCAAAGTCTCAAAAAGGTATCTTTTAATCATTGTACAACAATATTACCCTTCAACTAAAACCGGTGACAGTGTTTCTGTACTCACGCTGGCATATCCACATGGTGTCCAGGCACTGGTCTCTATCGACGTCAGGATATCTCGTCCTACCTCTAAGAGATAAGGGTCCTTAGTAGCTTGGTACAAGACCATCACACTCTCTATCAACTCTGCCAAGCAAGAAAGTGAACAGAAACCATTTCACTAGGACTTTGTGTACCAACAAAAATATGGGTCTACAAAACATTTTCCTTACAGTCATGACAGTGGTGATTTGTAATCACAATTTTCAGGTAACTAATGCATGTAATAATTGTGCAGGAAATTAGATAGCCAAAGGGGATGTTCATTATCGCTGAGTGCTTGGTATCGAGGTGTTTATTGCAATTAATCTCTACTTTGCATCTTAATTAAAACAAGTGATCCGTGGATCGAAATCCCTATATGCTTTGCGTTCGTATTCTTGTAGAAGCTGTTAAATTGTGTGCATTAACAATGACGTTCAATTTCTGAAGAGTTGTCATGAACCCCCACCAAAGTGACACTGAAATCCATCAAATTCTGTAGACAAAGAATTAACATTTGAAGCACATTTGAACAATGACCTCTAATGACCTCTAATGACCCCTACATGACCTTTGACCTCAGTAATCCGATGAGGAATTGTGTCTTCCCACCCCAGGTTCACTGTATCCAAGTCTAATGAAAATCCATGAAAGTATGTAAAAGTTACACATTTTTTTTTCAAAAATTGACCTAAGCTTTAACATTCATACGGTCATACTGGGATACAGAATTTAGGACTGGTAAATTCCCCCAGAAACTTTGTTTAGGTGACACAAAAACTTGCACTTGATAAGCCTAGTGTGTCATAAGTAAGCACATGCATTTTAGATCTAGTGATGCATGTTAGATCTAGTGGGCCATTCAGTTGTGCATTCCTGGTTGTGATTGGTCAAAGCATAAATAATGGGCGGGGGCTTAATGAATCGGTCTGTAACGGAAAATGAACCATCTTAATATGCAAAGATACATTCTGTGCAAAGTTGTCCTTTCAGCTTAAAATCAATCAAGTGACTGGTTTTAACAGTTACGAGCTCCCAGCCTACATAAAGCAGGATTGACTGGCTGTGACTGTTTATGTAACTTGATACAGCTATCTTTTGACTGTAGATGATTGATAAGCCAGCTGTGCATACCACTTGCCTGCTCCTGCCTGTTGACTGAATTTGACTAGTCAGAGTGCTTGCTTGAGATATGATCTGACTGTTGGTGACTAGCCTTTGTAAAAGGCATGACAGGGAAGAGGATTGAATTTTTAAAGAGGTTGTGGAATGCTCGAAGACATTTCCGTCATTTTTCGGGTATATGTAGCCTAAGGTGTGATGAAATAAAAACGACTATTGTTTCTGTCATGAAATGAGTACAAAAGGTACTTTTGAGAGCTGTTTTTCAGGTCCAGTTTCGACCCGAACGTGCAACTGTGTAAAAGTCGTCGTTGCGGGCAGCAAACAAAACACAGTAAATCGTGACGTAATAAACAGGACTCCCGATGCACAGTAGCATACACGAGTCCTGTTTATTACGTCACGATTTACTGTGTTTTGTTTGCTGCCTGCAACGACGACTTTTACACAGTTGCACGTTCGGGTCGAAACTGGACCTGAAAAACAGCTCTCAAAAGTACCTTTAGTACTCATTTCATGACAGAAACAATAGTCGTTTTTTATTTCATCACACCTTAGGCTACATATACCCGAAAAATGACGGAAATGTCTTCGAGCATTCCACAACCTCTTTAAACTGTCTGTGACTGTTCAGACAGCATGAGGGCAGAGGAAAAGCTGTACCTGGTCTCAATGGATAGCCCTCTCGCTTGTCAACTACTTTATTTGTCACGATGTTGTAGAACTCTGGTGTGAAGCCCAGTTGTCTCCAGACCTGGTGGTAGTTGTGTAGCGTCTTCATGGCTTCATCTGTTTGACCCAGTAGACTCTACAAGAGGAAAACAGAACAAGACAGGACAATTAGTAAAGCTTGTCCCACAGCACACAAAATTCTAGTCCAGGAATTCAAAATGGCTATTTACTGGAAGTCTTGTCATGCATCTGGCCTACACAATGGGCTGGATTTAGCCCACTCTGTTAAATAGGTACACAGAGGACACTACACGTAGGTGGCCCTCGTGGACAAGCAAAAATAGATTTTGAGATGAAAGCTCTGTGCCCACATACATGCACTACTGGCAACAAGTTCAATAAAAAAAATCTCTTGAGATTTACTTTTTTTTTACTATAAAGAGCTTCACTCTTTATACATCACTCAAAAAAGAGTATTCGTATCTGCACTTCCTCACACCATCGGGAGCACTCTGCACCTCTATTCGTATGGCTACATACCCTCACTCTTCTTGACTTAAATAAATTTCACACAGGAATCTTTATGTATAAATTCACTCACAATCTCCTCCCCAACAGTTGCTCTTCTTTCTTCTCATCAGTCCAAAGCACACACGATTATTCAACTAGATCTCGCCACAATTTATTCGTCCCATTTACCCGCACCCTCTATTCTAGTTCTACTCTCCGTTTCTATGGTCCCCGTTTGTGGAACACCATTGAAAACGAAATCAGAACAATGAAGTCCGTGGGCTGTTTTAAATCCTCGTACAAAAAGGAGCTCCTATCACAATATGTAACATAGCTTTCCCTCCTCAGCCACTCTCCATAGCCACATCTCTTCTTTATATACAATTCATCGTCTCTTTTATCTTATCCTCATCGCAACTATTCAATTTGTCTCGGTTTTTAGTGTCTCGTCTCGTGTTTTGTTTTGTCTTGTCTTTAGTTTCCCTTTGACTGTTTTCGTGTTTATTCCTATTGTCTGTGCATACTGTCCTGTATTGTCCGCTTATGTGTAAGGCTGTTCTCTACAAGCTCCGGTTTATATGAACAGCCCCATACTCTTCACCCTAATTGAACATATCTAGTCGTTATACTACATTGTTGTATTATTATTTATTTACTGTATCTAATTACCTTTTTTTAATTTAAAAACTTAGTTTGACTTATTTGTGGAAAGTATGGAAATAAATGTTTCCTTTGAATTGAATTGAATTGAATATTTAAACTGAATTTCTTTTTGGAGCTAGCCTGTTTGAGAGCGTACGTTTCAGTACAATAGATATTGAAAAAAAGTGAAAAATAGTGCTGCCTTTTTATGTTACTTAACCCCATGCGCTCGGGAAGCGGTCATGGCCGCGGCCGCTAATCCTCATTGGAATGCAGTCGCCAGCTGTGGTATGCCGTGGCACTCAGCTAGTGGGTAGCTCCACAGCTGCTGCTTTTGTGCAGTCCCGCTACCACACAAAGGCTGTGCAGTCATGCGGGCCACTTGCTCTATGTGTGGAGGAATGTCCCCATTATAACCCGTGCCTAAGGGGTTAAGAAACAAGATTTTGTTGACAAGCAGCGGTAGCACTTCACTGAACGTGAAAATGAAATATTGTCATTAAGTCCTAACAAGTGAACCACAAGTTCCTCGCTATCAAATCAAGTTACAAGCTATTTAGATGAACCTGTAATAAGGCATTCCTTTGTTATTGTTTTAGTCTGGTTCCCAGACCAAAAGACTGTGACTATTTCTGATGAATCTTAGGTCAGGTAGCCGCTACGGCACGTGACCAAAATGGGAGGAATGCCTCCCGTTTCCAAAAATGTCCGAAGTTTGCCGAATGCATTTCGTCGACACTCTCGGATAGCCCCCCAGGTATTTCGGGATATAAAATTGAATATAACAAACTTGAAATTCAATGACGACTTTGTGCATCAAGTATGCACTCGGATCGTACGAGGGGTAAACTTGGCTGCGTCATGCACCATTTGAATCTGACGACGGTTACCTAGGAGGATTCAAAAACTCAGCAGCGTCTCCATTTGGGCTTCACCTGCTATTTGGGTCCCTAACTTTGAAGATTCCCTCTCAACATTAGTCAATGTTCTCTTACAGAAATATCCAACTATGTAAGATATGAAGCAAGTGATTTCTTTTTATTTGATCAGAACATAAAAAGCTTTTAATGATAAAGCCAAACCGGAAACGAAGCCGAGTTTTGAAAAAGGGCCATCGTGTTTATATTTAGCCAGGTGGCAGCTGCCTCACCTACAATATAGACGTCAGGGCATCGGGGAGTTGTCAGGTCAGGGAACCAGACTATTATTCCTTATCCCCGGACCTGGCTTGGTACTGACTTGTGTTTGAACTCGGGGCAGACTTTTCTACAAATCTGCCTCCGCTTTGTTAACATATGAGTAGGTAGCCTGTCTCCAATACTTCAATGATTGACGATATCACTGAAATCTTACCTGCAATCCAGGCCAGAAGGCCTCCAGTGACTGGAATACAGGCATGGTGATTTGACCTTTCTTCATGTTGACCCACATGTACCAGTCGTCCCGCTTCATCAGCTGCTTAATCAGCTGCTCATATTCTGAAAGAATAAAAACAGACAAAATACTCGCAACTTATTCACAGCCTCATGGAACTAAACACCGCAACAACAAAAAAAGTCCACACTCATTGGATGGGTCATAATTTTGAATCTTATTGTCTTATGATGACGTCATTTATATAGACCTTTGGAATATTTTGCTAGCTACATTTTGATACCCCGTTTGCTACCAAAGACTGTAAATCATCCAAGATTGACAACGGTTTATGAAAAATGATGCAGATTATGCGAAGAGAAATTGCTAAGCGCAAACACAAATGCCCGTATCGACTACACAGTGCCCGAACAAAGTGCGGGTAATTACATTTGCGTGCTCCCATGCATGCAAGCACTGTGCGATCGGTATTCCCTGCACCTCGTTTCGGGCAGCGTGACATTGTCACGCAGCAATTTCCACTCGCATACTCTTTAAATTTGCAAGTTTTCAAACCGCATCATTTTTCATAAACCGTTGTCAATGTTGGACAATTTACAGTCTTTGGTAGCAAACGGGGTATCAAAATGTAGCCAACAACATTCCCCAAAGGTATATAAATGACATTATCATAAGACGACCAGATTCAAAATTATGACCCCTCCAATGAGTGTGGCCTTTCTTTTGTTGTGGTGTTTATATTTTGCTGCCTTTACCTGTTGCATACAGTTTCTGGGTGACACACTAACAAGCTAAATCCAACTAAGTAAGCCAAAAACCTGGCACAGTTACAATTAAATTATTACTGTCGAGAGATGCAAATAATAATTGTGAGTTTTGACCTCCACTGATGTAACTAAAACACTGAATGCCTAGTGCTTTATAACAGCTGGTGTAAACAAAAATTAATATTTAATCTTTTGGTGTGTGGCTTGAGTCCAACTTGAGTAAGCTTCTGGAAATTCCAATATTTGCTAAAAGTTACCCCAAAATTTGTCCAGCAAGTCCGTGTTGCCTAGCAACAAGCCTCCTTTTACTAGGTACTCGAGCAGTGAGTCCACGCCGGCACCTATCCCCGAATCCAGTGCAGTCCACTTCTTTGTTAGGACATCGATGTGGTTGCCAAACTGCGGTTGCAAACAATAAAGATTTTTTTTTACGTTACAGTTTTGCACATGCGGCGCTACAATACAAAGACCTTTGTATTGTAGCGCCGCATGTGCAAAACTGTAACGAAGTCATTTTTTCAAAAGTCAAGTCAAGACACTAGTCAAATCGTGTCCAAATGTTCAAGGTGTCAGCTTGTTAGGTCCCGTAACTCCTTGGACCTGATCAGAAATGGACTAGGCACAACCTTTCAAGGGACAACGTTTTTTGAGTTTGTTCGTCTCATTTTTTTGTTCAATCAAACTTTCCATTCTTTTTCCATTTTCAAGGTTTAATTCTCAGGAACCGTTTCTGAGAAACACTCTCGCCTTCACCCTGTCCAAATGTCACTTCGATTGTAAGCTTCCTTGGGAAATGTTTCCAATGGCAATGTGTAGCCGAATCATTTACTCGTATTTAGGCTATCACAAACCTAGACAATGACCACAGATAAAATGACAGCACAAAAAGGAATACAATTTGAAATCTGTTTTATGCTGACGTCACCAAGTGAAAAACAGGTCTCTTTTGTGGCTTTGTGATCTCAAACAGACCAAACTTTCTAAAAAGTTAAGTCTTGAATGTTTATTCTCGGGACCACACAAAAGAGATCTGCTTTGATGTCATCACATATACCAAAAGGAAGACTGACACAGTTAACAAACAATAAGGGGGAGTCAGGTTGGCGTAGCGGTACTTTCCTTGCCTTCCACCACTGTGACCTGGGTTTGAATCTCGCCTGGGTCAATATGTGGATTGGGTTTTCAGTCCCTACCTGATTCCATGCTTTTCCCCCAGAATATCTTCTGGGCTTTTCCTCCCACCTCTAAACTTTAATTTCTTCTCATTGTCTTCTCTCAGTAAGTTGGTGTGATGTTTCCCCTGGGATGCTTTATCGACTATATGATACAGATACAGAATAACAAACTATCCATACCAGTCCTATGTCTGATCGGCACTGCCACAGAGCATTGAGAGCTTTAAGGGCCGTCTCTTCAAACACGGGATCACCGGTCAGACGGCTCAGTGTGCCAAACTCCAAGATGTAAGTCCCCACACAAGCCGTGCAGGTGACTGGCGTCTCTCCGGCGGGCACGCCATGCGCAAGGTTGACTGTACCGTATGGCATACCAGTAGGGGTATTGAAGGCTGGAAAAAGGATACGGCAGAAAACGAACAGTTCATGTAGCGTGTAAATGCAAAGCAAGGCCGTTTTTAAAGCTACAGTCCATTATTTGCAGCTATCCAAAAAGATACTGGCGTAGTTATTGTTGAAAAACATACTTGGTTGAAAGATAGAACGGGGACTAAACTCCCTGTGAAATTGTTCTTTCTGGCAAGCTCTCATTTCGAAGAAATCAACAAAAGGAGGCCTTGCCAACGGTGCTTCTTAAGAAGCACCGTAGAAAATTAGTTCGTTTTATTTGGCGAAGTGCGCGCAAGCATTGGCACAACGCACACACGCGCGGTTGCTATAATTCGTCGGATCAGTACGCGACATTGCGTAGTTGCGTATGTGTATCGGACGCTGAATTCAGGCCCAATTCAAAACATGATCCTAGAATGATGTTTTTCTCAGAATATACAGCTGAAGCTGAGCTGAAAATTCATCAGGTTAGTTGCTCAGTATCCTTCATTAGATTTTGAACACTTTTGTTGCTTCAAACGAAAAAAACTGCACAAATTACAAATGATGGACTATACCTTTAAAGGTAACTTTTTAACCCAATGGTTTTGGTATCGCCCAAAACAACCGTGTCTGTCACTCCATGACCACTACAGCACTGTATGCTTTTATGTATTAATCAGCAGCCAATAAAAAGGAAGTGATACATTGTACAGTGTGTTTTGAATTCTGACTATGAAATGTCATACTCCTGGGGCCGATTTCACGAAACGCTAAGATGCGTCTTTGGTAGGGTAGCTCATTTCAACTTGCAACTCGTCCTTCATCAAACTTAACTTAAGCTCGGTCTGAGGGTCTTCTTATCTCATTAATATGTTTGTTAAGTTGTTCATTGTTTAGAAATCATTGCCGTTAAAGACGAGTGTCGGCCTGGAGCATTTCAGCAGAAAATTTGCTGAGAAGTTAAGTGCATCAGTCAGCCTCAATGCCTCAGAGCTCAGCATCAAGTACAACATTCCTAAAATCAGGTCATTTTATGACGGTACATTTCCTGAAAAATTAATCCGAAAGAGCTTGATTAAAACTTGACAAAGCCATTGCCCAATGTGTTTGAAATGAAGCTGGACTTAACCTAGCCCCATAAATGTGGCCTATTTACTGGACTGCCTCCGTAAACATAGGCCACACATCCACATGTACAAAAACGTGTCGCACTTTGCCAAATTTTGATTTTCACATTTAGGCTTACTTTGTAGGTTTTTTTGCTTTAGACATGTTAGAAGCATTCTCACCCTCTTTATAGGCTAATCAGAAAGTGCTGCCTTTTTCAGATGTCTAATTTTTGTGAAATTTCATGTTGAAATTTTGATACGCAAACGTGTGCAAATGTATCTGGAAATTTCACGAAAAATGGACATCTGAAAAAGGCAACACTTTCTGATTAGCCTATAAAGAGGCTGAGTATGCTTCTAAAGCAAAAACACCCTACAAACTAAGCCTAAATGTGAAAGTCAAAATTTGGCAAAGTGCGACACGTTTTTGTACATGTGGATGTGTGGCCTATGTTTACGGAGGCAGTCCAGTAAATAGGCCACATTTATGGGGCTAGACTGAGCCCAAACACGGACCATCACCATCAAAGGCTCAGTGTGTCCATGCACAAAAAGGTCAAGTAAAATGTTTGTTAATGTCTTAAAGAGTGCAAAATGTCATTAACCAGGCTTTCTTGTGCTGACATCTTTCAGTACCTGGTAAGATTCTCCTAGCTACCGTTTCTGCCATAGTGAGCAGTGGTCCCTTGCAAGGCCATCCAGACTCCAGCTCAACCCCAGCCTTCTGAGACAAGAGGTGTGCTGACAAAAGACCTCCAACAACTGAAAAGAAAACGGAAACACATTTTCCCATTCAATGATAATGGAGGTATCACTGTGTCCATGCCACTGTTGAAAAAGAAAAAGAATTTTGAAAGTGGATAAACTTGTATTTCTTACACTATGGACACACTAAATAGCTATTGTAAATGAAGAGTTTATTTTCAAAAAACGCGATATATCCATTTGAAAAAGGTAAAAATTGTGCACGGTTATTAAACTTTTAAGAATAAAACAGTATAATAACAGCTATTTCTACACTTCACTTTTTGGTTTGTTATAGTCTTAAGTCCTGTTAAAGTATAAAACTGCTATTGATATTGCTTTAGGGCAGCCAATAGAGAGCAGGATTCTAAAAAGGTGTTTATCACGTTTGAGAAATAAAGTCTTCAAATCTAGTCTTTTTCTAAACTTCAACTGAATGTGTATTCGCTCTTTTCACACTCCGCCATGGGGCATGCACAGCCTCGATCTGGCAACTTTACACAATAAAAATAGCCGGTCCAGTGATTCCCGTGTCGGGGTTCAGACCACTGAACCGGCTATATTTATTGTGTAAAGTTGCCAGATCGAGGCTCTGCATGCCCATGGCGGAAGTGTGAAATGAGCGAATCCCTTACACGCAAGGAATTTTTGCTAGAAGCCTGACTGATGCTCCTCCAAAACTCAAAGGCACAACAGACGCAGCCAGTATAAATTGACAGTAACTGGATTGTGTTTTCTGGTGGATTTGAAAGATCTTAGAAGTTGACTTTCAATCGAGTCATCAATATCAAAAGTCATCACTTGTCAATCACAAGACACATCACAAGTCCAGTCTTATTGAAAAGTCAAGTGACATGCGATTAAAATGTCCTTTTTTTTTCAAATGAACCACAAAGAAAAACTTACTAGGTGAATTAAAAAAATATTTTGAAACTTTTGGCGGTTCCCCAATTAGTCAAATGACTAAGGCAGGGCTCAAGTTTGTTCAACTTTTTAAAAGATTGTTATAATTCACCTAGTCAGTTTCCCCTTGTAGTTCATTTGAAACTCTGTAATAAAAAGCTGTATCCTCTCTGAGTGATCTCCGTTTGCTATTTCCCAGGTCTGCATCGTGACTTTGGGCGTGATCTCTGGCTGCATGGCATTATATGGGTTTATGGCTTCTGACTAGCGCCCCTTGAACAAAGATGTTGACTAATTGGGGAACTGCCAACATATTGCTGGAAAGCTCAGTTGGTAGAGCACCGGAACAGTTATCTGGAGATCGCAGGTTCAAGCCCCGCTTCAGTCAATTTCTTTGTTCAACTTCTCAATAAAATGTACTTTTGACAACTTCTTTTTACTTTGACAACTTCCTTTTGTCATTTTCCGTCCTCTGTTACTTGCAACTTGACTTGCGACTAGTGACCTGTGATAGACTTGATGACAATTCGGGCGATTCACAATGCAGTACGCCACCAAGATTTTGCCACAGAGAGTTCATTTTTCCCAGTGCATTGTGGGAAATGGTCGACAAATTCGCAGCGCGGGACATTTGAAATTGTTAGTTTTTTCCGGTCAGTAGTTTCGTAAGCGTATGATTCAATATCTGTTTACCCTTTTGTTTTCTTTTTATCAATATGGTGTTTTTTTGTAAGGCGGCAGAACGCTATGCCCAAATCTGTAACAAATTAGCTCAAGTTGTCTACTGACACTCATTCAAATTGTTCGTGTTGTATCGACCGTAAACTTGAAAAATAGACTCTCCATGGCAAACTCTTGGTGGCGCACTGCATTGTGAATTGCCCGAATTCTGTCAATCATGTCCACATTAACCTCTGATGTTGGTTTCAAACACAGACACGTTGATGTCTTCCGAGAAGTCCAGGTGACTCTGCAGCAGAGTGGACACTCTGCGGAACTCACTGTAGTTTCCCATGATGGCTAGCGTGTCCAAGGCGTCAATTAGGGTCAGGGAATAACTGGGGAAAAAGTTCAAGCAGACTGCGAATAAAACCGACGTCCAGTCCATGTTTGAAAATACTTAATACTGTAAAAGGTTTGGAAAGAATGTTGCAACCTGACGCTGCTTTTTTCTTCATGCAATGTACCGGTATAGCATCTCAATGAAGAAAATAAAAAGTTTTTCCATCAAATTCATTTGTACTCTTGTCATTTTATGTGCCGTGTTCAGGTGTTGTTTGTAAGGATTAGGACATGCCCAAATAGGTACAGTGAAAATCCCCTACTGTGGTAAATTTTTTTAGAGTGTACAAAGATGAAAAATGACTACTTTTACATAATTGGCATTTTCTCAGCAACCCAAAGTGCTAGTTTCATGACTGTTTCAGCATGTTCAGAATTTAAAAGAAAAAGCTCTCAGCTTTAATCTGATACCCAAAACATAAAAATCTGCTGATCCCTTTTTTTAAGGCAAATGTTTTAGGGTTGCATTTTTTGGGGTCACCCTGGACAAGCTAAGTCATCGATGTGATTCAAAGCACCTTCCCCACGAGTCCACGCCATCACAGGTCAAAGGTCGAAGCTCATCATATGGAAAAGCATTGTTCAGGTAATTCTCGTAACCATGGTAGAACATTGCTCGCACCCTCTCTCTGTAAATGTCAGTGAAAAAAAGTGACAATAAATTAGTTACATCATATTTGAAAAGAGTTTACTCATTGATAAGCACACTTTGATTTTCCCTCTATCACCTTGCCAATTAAAGCAAAGGTTTAAAGCTAGAGTCCATCATTTGCAGCCATCCGAAAAGTAACTGGCGTAATTATTGTTGAAAAACAAACTTGGTTGAAAGATAGTAAGGGAACTAAACTCCCTGTGAAATTATTCTTTCTGGGAAGCTGTCATTTTGAAGTAATCAACGAAAGAAGGCATTTCCAACGGTGATTCTTAAGAAGCACCGTAGGAAAATTTAAATTAGTAGTTCGTTTTGTTATTCAGCGCAGCGCGCACAAGTATTGGAACGACGCACACGTGCGCGTGGTTGTTATAATTCGTCGGATCAGTGCGCGACGTCGCGTATAGCTGCAATTCAAAACGATTCAAAACATGATTCAGTAACTTTTGATTAGAAATGCTGTTTTTCTCGGAATGTACAGCTAAAGCTTAGCTGAAACTTCATCAGGTTAGTTGCTCAGTATCCTTCATTATATTTTGAACTCTTTTGTTGCTTCAAACGAACAAAATGCACAAATTACAAATGATGGACTGTAGCTTTAAATACCCAAATTTCACAAGAAATTTAATTCCAGCAGGTGCTACATATCAATGTTTGTGAATCCTGAGTTGATACTGACCTGTTACAAATTTACGAGAAAAGAAATTAACATATGGACCCGTTGGAAAAAACTGTTGCAACCTTACGCCACTTCAACGATTGTGTACAAAGTCTATGGAGAGTCCTAACTCTGCATAGACTTTGTACTTGTTAGAAGTATTTCCTAACAAAATTGGAAATGTTTCCCAGTCCCAGATTCATGTCTTTGCAATGACTGACCTTCATTCATTGAGATGATAATATGAAGAGAAAAAAAGTGGCGTCCGGTTGCAACAGTTCTTCCTAAAATCAACATCATGATCAATGCATTTTGGTTTATTTTGTGTGAAGTTGTCATGGTTGTGTAGTGAACCCTTTTCTTTAACTGGCCTCATTAAATAATAATAGCCTTTTTTTGTAATAATGGCACAATACTGCATTAGCAGACACATGAGGGCGCTATTATTGTACTAGCGTCCGCAGCAGAACCAATTGTGATGCTGATGGAAGGGGAGAGAAGCCCAGAAAGAGTAAACATTAATCGGCTCAAACACCTACCTATATTGCAAAATTTCATCATCCGTGAACTTCGAAGACATAACATAACACACACATAATAGGGAAATTAAAGTCAGGAATAAACTACCACATCTAGGTAATTTATCCCTCATCTTTTGCGACTTCCGAGACGAGTTCTCGAGGCCGTGTCCGAAAGTTGTGGCTGCGGCTTACCGGATAACACGTGCGCCTACGGAAGCCACTAAATTGTGACTGCAGCCATTCCCATAGAGGTGTGTGCTACTCCCGTCCGCAGCCAGTTGATTCGGACACGGCTAACACACGTGCCCCGCAACATGCAGGCACCGTTTGGCTTTAATACTGCTACATAATGATCTGCATCTGGATACCACACCACCGCCAAATGGTAAATTGCTTGACTTGGACGCTTGAGGGCGCAAGTCAACTTTGATTTGAGTCAGGTGCCTTGCTTTTTATATTTCCTACACCACACACAATTGAGGTAAGTTGAGTTTCAGGAGACGGTGTATGACAAGGCCTGCAGCAGAACCATCGCACTTATTGCGTCGTCACACTTTCTTTTTCTTTTGCAGTTTTCGCTTAGCATGTTTTAATGTTTCGGCAGTTTACATGTATCAGAAGGACATGTTTTATATTTAGAGAGACGACAGAAACAAAGAATTCAGGAAAAAGTTACTCAAGTAAGTATTTTTCGTATTGTTATCGTCATGATTTGCTTTATTTTAAATGTGTACTTCCGTGCGTGTGAGCATGCCATGGTGAGGGCGCTGTTCATTTGTTGACCCATGTTTTTAAAGTTTAGATTTTTTGGCACATTAAATTCAAATATTACTGAGTGTTATCAAATTTTTGAAATCATGATTGCTGTCTGCCAATGTTAGCCCCATAAATGTGGCCTATTTACTGGACTGCCTCCGTAAACATAGGCCACACGTCCACATGTACAAAAATCCTGTCGACTTTGCCAAATTTTGATTTTCACATTTAGGCTTAGTTTGTAGGATTTTTTTGCTTTAGAAGCATACTCACCCACTTTATAGGCTAGTCAAAAAGTGCTGCCTTTTCAGATGTCTGATTTTTGTGAAATTTCTATTTGAACTTTTGATACGCAAACGTGTAAAAATGAATCTGGAAATTTCACGAAAAATATACATCTGAAAAAGGCAGCACTTTCTGATTAGCCTATAAAGAGGGTGAGTATGCTTTTAAAGCAAAAAAAACCTACAAACTAAGCCTTAATGTGAAAATCAAAATTTGGCAAAGTCGACACAATTTTTGTACATGTGGACGTGTGGCCTATCACCTATGTTTACGGAGGCAGTCCAGTAAATAGGCCACATTTATGGGGCTATGCCAATGTAGGATGATGTATTGATTGAAATAAAGCATTAAAGCCAAAGGCCAAAGATTTGGGGGAAATGTGAGTTTTTAGCAAGTTATATTAGTTAAGACAAGTTCAATCTAGCCGATGTGGCCAATTTACTGGACTACCTCCGTAAATAAAGGCCACACTTCCACCATGTACAAAAACATGTCGAACTTTGTCAAATTTTGTTTTTCACATTTAGGCTTAGCTTGTAAGTTGTAGTTGTACTTGTAGTTTATTTTTGCTTTAGAAATAGAAGCATTATAGTGGTTCCCTAACGTGGTGCACTTCGACGTTTACCCGACTTTCCTCGTGTATTGTTGCCAAACCTCTTTGTTGACAAACCTCAAATTCATGCAGTGAAATACTGGTACTTTTACCTTATTAATGCTTGCTATTTAACCTCTGTCATGTCTGTGCACAATTTCGGTGTCATGAAATTTAATCTGATATTCAAAAAGGATGGCGTCCGGAAATTGGGCAAAAACTGGCTGAGTGTTCCCTAACGTGGCGCACTTAAATAAATCTCGGAAAATTCCAAATTAACATGTAAGAATTTCTGTAAAGTTGATAAATTCTGATAAACCATACCCAACCAGAAGTTTGTCAAGAAAATGTTTTCTTATTTTTGAGGGCATTTTCAAAGGGTTCAGTTCACTTTGCACTTCAAAATAAAATCGGAAAATCATACCAAAATAATGTTTTCTTCTAACTTTGTAACGGGCGGATAAACTCGCGATTTATGAACGGGAGTGTTTAGAACTTGATGAAATTTCACTTCCTGTGAAATTTCAGTGAAAACTTTTGCTCTAGCTACATGTAGGTGCTACAGGCGAAAAATCAAAGTGCGCCACGTTAGGGGCCGCGCCACGTTAGGGTACATCAACATGGGCGTCGCCAGGATTTTTTCTAGAGGGGGGCAAAAAAAAATTTTGCCAAAAAATGCTTGTATTTCTCAACACATTCTCGATTTATCAGTTTTAGAGGGGGGCAGGGACATTTTGCCCCCCCCCCCAACTCATTAAATTTACACCACTTTGTCTTCGCGCCTCTTTTTCTTTTCTTTTTTTCCCTTTTTTTTTCTTCCTTTTTTTTTTTTTTTTTTTTTTGCTTTTCCAGGGGGGGGCAAGTGCCCCCCCTTGCCCCCCCCTCGCGACGCCCATGTACATCAACAATACTCACCCTCTTTACATGTATATAGGCTAATCAGAAAGTGCTGCTTTTTCAGATTTTTGCTTTTTCTAATTTTCGTGAAATTTCATGTCGAAATTTTGAAACGCAACTTTGTGCAAACGAAAAATCTGAAAAAGGCAGTACTTTCTGATTAGCCTATATAAAGAGGGTGAGTATGCTTCTAAAGCAAAAATAAACAACAAACTAAGCCTAAATGTGAAAATCAAAATTTGACTAAGTTTGACATGTTTTTGTACATGGTGGAAGTGTGGCCTTTATTTACAGAGGTAGTCCGGTAAATTGGCCACATTTATGGGGCTACCTTTAATCATGTTTCTGCACTTCGTCTCCGATTTGTATATGTTGGGCGTTCGGTCGATCATGACGCTATTGACGCTTTTTCAGACATCTACTTTTCGTGTAATTTCATGTTGGAATTTAGATACGCAAACGTCATGAACGTTTGCAAACGAACCTGGAAATTACATGAAATATAGATACATGTACATGTCTGAAAAGGGGTGACTAATTTTCTATCACTTTGTTTGTAAATAAACTACACACAAAGTCTAAATGTGAAAATTAAAAGCTTGACAAAGTTCTACATTTTCAGGTACATGTACATGTTCCAAGTGTGGCCTTTATTTACGGAGGTAGTCTAGTAAATTGGCCACATTTATGGGGTTAAAAAATAGCCCTGCTTTCATACAAATACAATCCATTTGTGGGGGGTTTGCAGATTTCGACCGAAAGTTGTATTAAAATTGGTAATTGTGTAGCTTAGGCCACAAAAAAAAAGTCTCCGGTTTCTGGTATGCGCGCGCGTCGCCGTAGCCATGCGCGTCGGCAAAATGAAAAAGTGGGTTTTTTTCAATGAAAGATGATGTCTCAAAACTGCCAAATTCACTGGTTTGACTAGAATCCTGCTGCTGCACAATTTTAACGTGTTTTTAGATTGGGTTGTGGTCGAGAATAAGCTTTATGTGGCCTCTCTGGACTCCCATATATTTGCACTAAGTTTAGTCGGGCACCATTTGCAGTCATCAGCCGACATCTGAAGCCGAAAAATCAGGTAAAAAAAAAAAAAGCCCCGTCGTCGCACCACTTTTTGGGCAAGCTTCATACCAGAAACCGGAGACTTTCTTTTTTTGGCCTTAGGACCCCGTTCCATACGAGAACAAAAGACATTTCTACGTGTTTGTTTTGGGACGTCACGTAATACCTACATGGTACAAGGCTACAACTACATGTAAACATAATATGATTTCATTGATTAGACTGTGATACAAAAACAAGCAGAAAAAGTCAAGAATGCTGCATCCTGACACCACTTTTTTCATCGTGTACATCATAATGATGTGCATTTCTGTTCATGCATCTTGTTAAGTGCACGTACTGTACAACACATGTATAAAGTTACACATACACATACCCTGCTATGCCCAGTGCAGTTGGCAAAGAGAATTATCAGACCTTTCAAAACATTTTAAATTTGCCTGTCTAAAAGGGTTTTGAAAGGTGAAATAGTGCTGGAACTTTGAAACTTTTCGAAAGGTTTCGGAAGGTGAAGCAACTCGGTGGGCAAATTCAGTAAGTTGCCTTTCAATACCTTTCGAAAGGAATTGAAAGGTGTGGTAGTGCAGTAAGAATAAATTCTGGAGGATTTTAAAAGGTCCAGCATTTTCTGTCCTTCAATTTGCCAGCACCCAGATTTTGAGGTGTTTTGAATGGTCTAACTACAGGAGAGTTGTGTCAAAGAACATTCCAAAAGGATGTCATTTGTGTTTAATATTCAGGACACTCAACTGGACTAGTCAGAACTAGCAAAGGTAAATTTGTTGTGATGATCAAGTTAATACATGTACGTACATGCTTGCAACAACTTGACCCAAATAAAACTTTGCAAAATTATCCTTTTTCCTCTATCATGTTTATTTAACAAGGTGCAGCTTATCTGGCCTAAAATGTACATGTACATGTATGTATGTAAACAATTGGTGTGTTTTTTTAACTTCCTAAGTTGTTTGTGTAATATTATGCAATGCATGTACGTACATGTAACTGTGTAAAAAAAACTTGTTGCTGCCACAACAGCATGTACAAGTGTATGGTATTCTATGCTGACAAATGTAGGTTGTAAATGTCGATCTGCACTTTGGGATACATTTGTGTACAACTGTAGTTGGACTGTAGTCATTACCATATTTGTTTCATTTTGGTATGTCAAATGCATACATTGTATGACTGACATGACTATTACCACCCCGAACAGGACTGAAGGGGTTAATTTTGATTTTGAAATTTTGTACTAAATTAAATATAATAATGCACTTTTACGCATGTACATGTACACATAATGCTTTCTTCTTTTTCTTGTTCCACTACATGTATGTTCTGGTTCATGTACTTAGCTTTAACCCTAATCGAACATCGAACACAACCCATCAAAGTTTAACAGCAGGTGTTGTTGAAATCCGTTAGAAGGGGTACACTAGTACCCCTAAACTGATGGTCTTTTACTTTGGGTTTGGCATACCTCCAGAAACTAAGTCCAACAGTGTGTGTGTTTCGATTTTCCATGTGGGTGTTGGAATTTGCCTGGATGAGTATGGTTCCTGGTAAATTTTGCTAGGGAGTTGTGTTCCTTCCTCCATGGGTTAATGTATTACAAACATACTGGTACAACCTAGTTGTAGTGTACAAAGTGAACATTTGAGAAAATTAGCAGTAAACAACTAAACATTTTGAAAAGTAAATCCAGCCTTGCTCTAATAAACATCTACAGATCGACGCATGATAATGCTTGTCCTGTAGGCTGTACATTAGTTTTAGCATTTCCATACAGACTACATATAGTTCATCCTGCAGCTAGCCATTAAGCCACTCACACCTTGAGCAAACATTCCATATTTATGACTACTATACAGCCATGGATCTGCACCTACAATAATTAAATGATTCGCCCTCTAGCCTTGAGCTCCCACAGGTCATACTCTGACCCAATTAATATACAATCCGCTGTGGTATTTACACCTGAAGGCTCAATCTAATCATGTCCCTGATGGTTCTATTCAGCCAGACTGATTAGAAGTCTGCATGCATGGGTGCACAACTGCCAAACAAGATTTGTGAGATAGCCTAAGCGGAATATTTGGAAATCATGTAAGACATTAGGCCTATGACTTCTTTGAAAGTACATGTACGTACACAGTCGTATTTACACTGTCGATCGTGGATGTCCTATTGTCCCTCTTAGGAAGACTCCCATATGTTTTGTACACGACCCCAGTTGCGGACGTGCATGTATGCTGGGAATGCGGACGATATTGTTCTCTTTTGTTCTCTGGCATTTTTCTCTTTTGTTCTCCGGCATTGAAGGTTAGTTTTATTTTAAATGCCTGAACACGCCCACATGTACACGTACATGTAGTTGTACATACTGTGTGATGTGTACAAATTAAAGTGAGAGAATGATGTACAAATAGGATGAAAAATTAAAATTCTGTTGTTTGATTTTATGTTTATAGAGGCACAGTGCTTACCTCATCAATTGACAGGTAATTTTATTGTTGAATATTAAGTTGATGAATGATGTTTACTTAAATATCTAAGCACAGTAAAATGATAAACAGATTTGTTTTGCTTTGAATACTGAGATTTAGGCCAAAAAAAAAATAGTCCGGTTTCCCTACCTACATGTACCCTATTCTGACAGCCCCTACCCTAATTTTTTTTATTGGAAACATGAGAAAAAACACCCAAAACCATCACTTTATACCTTTTACCCTTGACTACACGCAGACGCCTCCATATGATCGTACACACACAAAATTGGCCAAAAAAAAAAATCCCTACCTACCTACCCTATTTTCGAATGCCGTGTAATCGGAAGCAGAACTATTTTTACCCCTCAGCCGAGAGGCTCGAGGGGTATTGTTGTTTTTTGGGCCTTATTTGCCATTAGAGTGAGGGGTTGACTCCAAGCCCCGCTCTGTTGGACATGTAGTGCTTACACTGCTTACTCACCAGCATTACTGGGTCAATCCGTGCCTCATCTAAGGGTGTCATGGAAGGTTAGTTTTATTGCCCCTACCCCTCGACCCTCACCCATATTGCAAGTCCCAGAGTACAACTTTGGTCGAAAATAACTCAGTGTTTCCGTAATTTTGTCCCACTGGCTGAAGTCGTCCGTTACCAAGATTTTCAGATACCTTCGATAGATTACCAGCTTTTTCTTTGTTGACTGGCTCTTCTTCTGAAGGACGTTCAATCAGGGCCCTTCGAATCATTCGCATATATGTACCAGTAGCAGCCATTAAAGCCTTTTCTAAGGACTTTGATACACAAGAAGACTGCGCGATAAAAAAGTACTGGTTCCACTTGTCATGGCGATCTTCGGTTAGACTTTCTTCTTGTTCGATCTCCATACATGCCATACAGTCCTCATCCTGTGGCATGCTTGACAGGTCTTTGCTATCCTGATGTTGACGTCTCTCTCAGATGTCTTGATCCATGCACTAACGTTCATGAAGTTAAATCCACAAACTCGATCTGATTGCCATTTCTTGGCTAAATATCATGGCTTTTGTCTGCGACACTTTCATGTGAAGCCCAACCGATTTTTCAGCTCTTTCCACTTGATCAAGCAGTTGTTGAGTTTGGTTTGTGTGTTTTTACAGGAGAGCAATGTCATCCCCTAATTCTGCAGACAAACTGACATGACTGTTACTGCAGTATTTACTTGTATTTACCAGGAAGTGATATTTATCTTAGATTTATGAAGACCTAAAGACAGTTTACTCATTCATATTGGTTGAGAGCCCATCACGTGGCCGGTTTTAAACAGTTGATAAGGACCGGCTGGTTGGTCTTACACACTTTTTTAGTGTTGCATGAAATTTGGACTCAAATCCGGTGCCTTAAAAAAAATAACAACTATTTATTGGTTGAACATTCACAATCCTCACGTAGGCATGCGCAATACTGCCAGTAAGACTTTCTTAATTCAAAATACACTGGCACAGCTGCGTTCTGCACCACATCGTGCAATACTGCCAGTGACACGCTTGCCAATCTCCATATACATGTAAGGAGTTGTTTACTACTTTTCGCGAGATGGACATACTTAAATAACTTGAGGGGTGTTTCGAAAAATATGAAGTAAAATTGTTGAAAAAATTGTTGGAAATTTATGATTTTGACTCGTTTTGACTTTTGGACTGACAAGTTTTGATTTTTTGACAGAAAAGGTATTTATGAATGGGAGTAAATACTGGCGAGGTTAATTATCAGCATTTAGATTTCAACTGGTCTTAAATAAAGTGTTTAATACCAGCCAAGCACACAAAAACGTGTATTCCCATAATCAAACGCACGAAGGCTTGAGCAGCATCTCTTTATTAATAATTGCATTTGCGGTCAAATGGGACAGAAAGTACACTTCAAAGTTCCACTGAAAAAAAAAATTCTATTGTGCTGGAACTTTGAATGTGAAAATGACACTTTGAAACTTTATTCTTAACCCTGTTTGTGTGCAAATATGTAAGCACCTTGTTCATGTTTGCCAGGAGAACATTAAAGGGGCACTACATGTAGGTCTTGAAATCCCGGAAAATTTCATGTTTTGGGTCGTTTACTTATCCTATTTCAAACATCTGGTTCAAAGGAAACCAACCTAATGTCTTACCATTCCCGAGAAAAGACAAAAAAACCTCGATTGTTTACATCGGACACGACGGAGTACGAATACGCTTTTCCTGTCGGTTTCACTTTCAGTCAGTGTACGTACGATATATACACAGCACCGTGCTCGCGAACAGCGCGCGGTGAATCACCAACGCACAAAATACGGTTTCTTACACGTCCACAAAAGGCAAATCACTTTACGGATGAAATCAAAACAGCTCGAATTTTTGGGGTCGCAAAAGTGGACCCCCGAAATTCGTTCACGCATGCATAATACAGGAATAACACAAAAACGCCCAGTTTTGAAACGATAGTTGTGTGGATGTTTATATATCCTACTTTTAAATGTTCTTTCTGATTAACATCATTTCGTTCAATGTTCAAAGCTCGTTTTGTAGCCCAATTGGGCTGTTCAACTTCAAGGACCCAGTGTCCCTTTAACATTGCTAGAAGCCTTGATTGCAGTCCTGCTTGCATTTCAACAACAACACCCCCCCCCCCCTTTCCCCACCATCCTATTCCAGCGATTCGATTAACACGTCCCGGGTGCTCATTTCATCCGATTAGAATATGCCTCGCAGTCAGTGTATATATCCGGCATTTGCACCCAGCGTGAAGTCCAAGTGAATGAAATTACCGGACGGAGCCAGGGATGGAACGTGTTGTCTGGTTTGGCTCACACAGTGCCTCTCGTCTGTGGAGACTGGATGTTTCATCGTGTCTATAGGACTCTCTCTTTCTTCTTGCGGAATGTGAAACGCATCTTAGATCATGTGGATTCTTGGGTGAATTTTCGTTAGGTGGGCCTGTAGCGCCAGCATCATGTACTCATAGTTCTGTTCGTGTCCTGAAGGATCTACGTGTAAGGGGTACAATGCAGTTGAGTATTAGCTTGATTCTTGGCATGGATTGAATGATGAATGTTTATGAATATTTATAGTGTTGTGTTTGTTTGTTAGTCTGTCTGCTGTCATCTTGTTGAACACGTATTTTGTATGCACGTGAAAATTCCACAAGGACATGAAGGATGTCATCATTATGCGGTTGTTGTTCATGTTCAAGTGAAGCAGTACATGCTTTTGTATGCAATAACATGTACGTGTACATTGGTTCCAAATTGGAGAAATAAAGCATTGTAGATACAATGTACAAATGTACGCATGTACATGTACATGTAGGAATGTGTAGATTTGGTTTTTAACATGTTAAAACGTACTTTACTGCAATTTCATTGGTTGAGAACGACCACATGTCCAGTCTGTAGCAGCCTTTGACCACTAGCAGCCTCGGCTTTGCCTCTGGTGCACCCTTGGGTGTTAAAAATGGCATTTCTCATATCACGGCAGTCAACAATCGTTAAATGTACGGTACATGTACTTGTGTATCATATGTGCATATGATTGTTGTTCACATGTACATCTATAGATGTATTTTAGAAAAGGCTGTTGGTGTGTGAGCTAAATGTACAATTGCAACCAAAGGACTGGGAAGGCTGGCTTCGTGGTAAATCCCCCCCCCCCCCCCCGAAAAAATTCCTGTTTTAACTTTTGTTTCTGTTCATATAATTTTTGAATGGTACACATGTACATTAATTGTCCAGATGTATGAGTTGTACCAGTACATGTACATACTTTTAAGCAATGTTTTACCTTAAAAATGTACAGCAGCTTGTGGTGCATTATTTTTTTGTATTGAAAAAAAACCCACTACAACAAAAGTAAAAATAAGTTGGAACGACACAGTTTAAATGTACATGTAGATGTTTCTGTTAGTGTACACCTGTAGTACATACGTTACTAAAACCTATCAGCTGAATGTGCAGAAAACTTGTAACATCTTCATGTCGGCGTTGTCATAAAGTGTTCAACTGTGTGTCATACAGTGTCTCTCTGTGTCACCATTGATTTAGGGGGAGGGCAGGGGTTACATATACAATGTACAGTGTACGTGCTTATGTACAGAGTCTGTACTGTCCCACTGTGTGTACTGGAAATACAAAAATGTGCAGTATACATGTATGTGTGTCATGTCAATAACCTGCCTTTTGTCTTTCCCTTATCTTACATACTTTGCTAATTCTCCAGTTCAAGACACAAAGTGAGGGCAGCGACATCATCCATCCAGTACAAGATGTCCTACCACAAGCTCTCCGGCTCAGAACCAGACGAGGGAGAGGTCAGTCTGACCCACGTCTCGGCAGAAGCCCCAAAAGACACTTACCAGAAAATGGACTCCGATCAGCCCGACAGCGGGACCACGGAGTTCTTCAAAGTGGAGGTGTCTGACACCAAGGCCCGCAGCTTTGATGGTTTTGAGGGAACCACAAAGAGTCCTCTACTGACAGACGATGGAGATAATAAAGTCAATTATGAGGTGGGCATTTTATCACCCATACATTAACCCTAACCCTTAATCCTCCAAAATCCTCATGGCGGTTTTGGAGGATTTTGGATGAATGGTGTATGAGAAACATGAGGATTATGGAGGATTGAGGATGAATGGTGTTGAAGCACATTATGGAGGATTGAGGATGAGTGGTGTTGAAGCACATGAGGATTATGGAGGGTTGAGGATGAATGGTGTTGAAGCACATGAGGATTATGGAGGGTTGAGGATGAATGGTGCTTTAGCAAATGAGGATTTTGGAGGATTGAGGATGAATGGTGTTGAAGCACATGAGGATGTTGGAGGATTGAGGATGAATGGTGTTTGAGAAACATGAGGATTTTGGAGGATTGAGGTTGAATGGTGTTGAAGCACATGAGGATTTTGAAGGATTGAGGATGAATGGTGTATGAGAAACATGAGGATTATGGAGGATTGAGGATGAATGGTGTTGAAGCACATGAGGATTTTGGAGGATTGAGGATGAATTTTGTTGAAGCACATGAGGATTTTGGAGGATTGAGGATGAATGGTGTTTGAGAAACATGAGGATTTTGGAGGATTGAGGTTGAATGGTGTTGAAGCACATGAGGATTTTGAAGGATTGAGGATGAATGGTGTATGAGAAACATGAGGATTATGGAGGATTGAGGAAGAATGGTGTTGAAGCACATGAGGATTTTGGAGGATTGAGGATGAATTTTGTTGAAGCACATGAGGATTTTGGAGGATTGAGGATGAATGGTGTATGAGAAACATAAGGATTTTTGAGGATTGAGGATGAATGGTGTTGAAGCACATGAGGATTTTGGAAGATTGAGGATGAATGGTGTATGAGAAACATGAGGATTTTGGAGGATTGAGGATGAATGGTGTTGAAGCACATGAGGATTATGGAGGATTGAGGAAAATGGTGTTGAAGCACATGAAGATTTTGGAGGACTGAGGATGAATGGTGTTGAAGCACATGAGGATTATGGAGGATTGAGGATGAATGGTGTTGAAGCACATGAGGATTATGGAGGATTGAGGATGAATGGTGTTGAAGCACATGAGGATTTTGGAGGACTGAGGATGAATGGTGTTGAAGCACATGAGGATTTTGGAGGATTGAGGATGAATGGTGTTGAAGCACATGAGGATTATGGAGGATTGAGGATGAGTGCATTTTTCAGAGGCAGGACTGTCTGACGGTTTTGAAGGATTGAGGCGCTGGGTATCCTTCATTTGAACATACTTGTGCACAATTTGGGAGGATTTGGGAGGATTGAGGATGTTCCGTACAACAAGGGCCTAGGGGGTTAGGATTAATACATGTATGTAGTAGTCATTCTTATGCTAGTTCACGGTGTTGTAGGCGAGTCCACCGCAAGTCCATCACTTATCCAGTCAAAACTAAATAACAAGTTTTTCCACAAGTCAATCACAACTAACTTGTGATGAAGAGAAATAATGCAAATGCTTCGGTCCATCAACATCTGAGATTCGAGTTTCATTGAGGTTGAAATTAAACTGAGCACGTTAAGCGGAAAGTGTGCAGTTAAATCATTCTGAGGTTCGCTCTTGTTTTTTGTCCAATAGCATCCTGATTACATTGTATCAAGTTCAGAGACCCACTGGCTCTGCTGAAACGATTCCAATGTCTTTCTTATTTCAACAGCTTGTCTACGTTCCAGATTTCAATGGTATCATGCTGGTAGCAGTACAAGGCGATAAATCCAAGCCAGCCATTATCACATACCACGACATCGGGCTCAATCGTGAGTACAACCAACATTCTATTCTCATATTAACCCTCCTGTGCAGACATACACTCTGTGCAAAGTTGTCCTTTGAGTCCAAATCAATCAAGTGACTGTTTTCAACAGTTAAGAGCTCCAGCCAACGTAAAGCAGGATTGACTGGCCGTGACTGTTTATGTCACTTGATACAGCTATGCTTTGACTGTAGGTGACTGATAAGCCAGTTGTGCCTGCTTTTGTCTGTTGACTGAATTTGACTAGTCAGAGTGCTTGCTGAAATATGATCTGCCTTGCCTGCTTTTGTCTGTTGACTGAATTTGACTAGTCAGAGTGCTTGCTGAAATATGATCTGACTATTGGTGACTAGCCTGTGTAAAAGACATGGCAGGGAAAGGGTATTGATTTTTTGACTGTCTGTGACCAAACAGCAGAAGGGTTAATTAAATGTAAGTTGGGATTTGAAGGTTTGCATGGTGGAAAGATACTAAGACAAGATAAGTTTGCGGTGACACCATGTGGATAAATCTCTTTTGTGAGTGTGTGTGGTTCAGAAAAGAACCGAAGGTACTCAACGTTTCGAACAGCCTGCTCTGCCCGTCGTCAGGAGAATTAAATGTAATTAAGTAAGGTCAGGCAGTTAACTGGAAGGTACATGTAATACATGTAGCAACTTATTAATGTAGTCAGTGGGCATGTCTCTTGGAGTAAGAAGTGCAAACCTGCCCAAGGAGCCATTTCCACCCCTATTTCCATCTCAAGTCACAACGGACAATGAAGGATGCCATCTCGAGAAAGTAATACTTGAGAATTTCAAAGTCATGACAAATTTGAAGCAGTTTCTTGCAGTGTGCTGACAGATGCATATTTAAACAATGTTGATTTTGGTCTCGGAATTCTAAACCATTCTCCTCTCTGACTGCCGAGCGCGATAGCTCAGTTGGTACATTGCACTGAATTTCACAGTGAGCGATTTTTGCTTGATTGGATTGCGAAATGCGAAGCAATTTTAACACTTTGCTCAACATAAAAAAGCAAGTTGGCACCAAAAAAAAAATGCTTTTAGCTGTAAAAACAATTCAAAATGCATCCCAGTTTGTCGTCGGCCAAGGAGAAGGACGTTAGCAGCAGAGGGATGCAAAAATCGCTTTTTGAGATAATCGAGTTTGAACATTTTGGGGATTCCATTTCTTAGTAGAAAATTAAATAAGTCTGAAATTTTGACTGATGAAATTTAGTAGTAATTCGAATAATATTCTGCATTATTATTTATATCAGGCTTTCAGCGGTAAAAATAAATCAGCATATTGTATGCTTTCATAAAAAGTTGACTGCAATAACATTGTAATTGCAGTCAATCCGGGCATTTTCGCAGGTTCCCGCTTGATCAAGAGCATAGAAAGTCACAGTTGTCAACCACTCAACAGAGCGTAGCGTGCGTAGCGTCGAACACGGAACACGCCGCGCGCATGCAGCACGCAGAAGGCCAGGATACGCGCACTGTTGTCAACGATTACAGTGGCAGCTTCAAAATGTTTAATGTAAACGAAAAAGATGTAACGAAGACAGTGTCTTGAATTGTGCTTCTTGCGGATCAAGTCAGCCTGATATAAATAATAATAATAATATTGGATGGCTTGTTTTCGGTGGATACAAGAATATATTGCACTCGCTATGATAATATTGCACTCGTCTTCGACTCGTGCAATATTGTCATAGCTCGTGCAATATATTCTTGTATCCACCTCTAAGCCATCCAATATTATATAATTATTATTTCAAAATATTACTTAATTTTTAAGTTACCGGTATGTACATTTTTATGCTAACAACCTTTTGCCAGGAACTCCTCCTGCCTTAAATGTTCGTTTAAGTGGCATGTTAAAACATAATGACCTTCTACAGGGAATGAACTTTGCTTTACCTCCGCACTTCAGTGGGACGTAAAGTGCTGGAAACACTGTTTTGCTACATTAGTAAGCTATTTAAAAAAAATGCTAACCTCCTTATACTGGGGGAAAATAATGAAAATCTTCTGTTGATTACCGTACGTCAGATGGATGTAGCCCCTTGAGACAAAATGTGTATCAAATGAAAGATATTTTAATGCTCTATAAATAACCTGAAAAACCCGAATTTGAGCTTTTTACCCATTCTCCGCCCTAACGACGTTCTTCCATGCACTCAACAAGTTCTATCTTAATTTTTGTAACTGAACTCTGTGTTATACAAGTAGGGTCAAATCCCACTGCAGTCACTGTGCTTGCTAATTTGTGACCCACTCCACAAAAAAAGGGCATTAAGTCGCGCTGTGCATTATCATGTAATGGCCCGCTCAACGCTGAGAGGGTGAAAAATTCATCATAATGTGATTTTCATTTTTTTGTCACGAATGACATCTTTAATAACTAGAGTTTCAGGGTTCATTCACAGAAATGTTGATTTTGATGAATAATGTAGGGGAAAAAAGACAATTTAGAGCGCATACTCGTACAAAATGTAGTGCCCAAATCTGCAACAGAGCCAGGTATTTCAAGGCCTGTTTTCTCAAGTTGTGTAATTCGAACCCCAAGGAAGTAATTACTATGTGATTATGTCATACCGGTATCTCCAGAATGGGACGGGCCATGGAGCTCTATTATATACCAAATGAAAGCTTACATTATGGGCTTTCCAACAACTCAATTTTCATTATACCCTTTTTGCGGGTCACATTTGTGGTGGATTTGTTTCAGATGTTACGTGCTTCCAGGGATTCTTCAATTTTCCCGACATGGCTCCCATCCTCAAGCAGTGCTGTGTGTATCACATCAATGCGCCAGGCCAGGAACAAGGAGCACATCAGCTGCCGGAAGGGTAGGTCACATTGTTGGTCTCTTTGTCTAACTACATGTACCTGGCTTGGATTCTGTCTGTTGTTATCATCTGGGTCCAGACTAATTCAAACTTGGAAATTAATCATTCAATTACTAAACATCGGCCGATTTTTTTGGGATGATGTCTCATTGAAAAGTGAATAACTAAATGTACTGCTAGAAAAATGGCAAATTAGAAAGAAAAAAAAATTTAGGGATAAAATTTAAAAAATAACTGGAACCTCAAAAAGTCAATAAGCCTCTGTACTAATGACGTCACACTTTGTTTACGTGTGTGCTTTCCTATGGTGCTCAGTGGACCGTGGGCCCCCACTGGCTCCATAGGAAAGTGCACATGTAAACAAAGTGTGATGTCATTAGTCATGTTAGTACAGAGGCTTATTCGAAACTCAAAAAGTCAACCAATGTGCGAATCAGGCAGTATTTAGGTTTCAGAACATTGCTGTTTACAAAGATAAAAGATTTCACTGACATGTTTTCTTGCGGCATGATTAAATCTGGCTTTGACATTCCGTTTTGCATATGAATGGAAATTAAATTACTCAGTTAATTAAAGAAGAATGAAGCGTTCATGAGTTGGCGATTGTGGTATGTAGTATGTTCCTGTACATGTACACAAGACATGCATGGCGGTGTCTCATACACTGGTCACTGTTCAATGGAAAAACAAGTGGCACATAATTCCCTCTCCCTCATGAAATGGTGGCCTTTTAAAGTCGATGTCTCTTGCAAACCCCCGCAGGTCACAAATTTCACTGAATCATTTCCATAAATAAAAAAAACTACCGGTAGGTACCCGCCAAAGTGCAGCGTATACTATCCACTATCTAATAGGGCCCTGCTCAGGTAGTTGATAACATTCAATGAATCCTCATAATGCCCCCACAGGAATAGCAGGGGAAAAAACAGAGGGTGATATCTCCGATTCTTGCATTCAGCTTTTTGTTCTACACGTACTTCGGTCACGAATCTTTCAGACACTGCCTCAGGTGACAGCCGTCTGGTGAATAATGCACAAAGGGCATGGGGAATAAGAGACCCCAGTCATTCACTGTGTGCCTTAAAGAACTGTGGAGAAATGCTATATGACTTGTATCAGTTTCAGCTGAAACTGAAATGAATAATAATGCATCATTTATAATTATTATCAGCCTGGTATAGTAGCAAGCTAGCATTTTTTTTATCATTAGCCTAGCCTTTAATCCATCAGGAATTTGTTCAGAAATATTTGTCTGTTTTCTGTTTTTGTCATTTTTCGTATTAGTAATTGACTGTTTTCCCTTTTGTCTTTTTGTTTCAGTAAACTATGTACATGACAGTTGCAGTTAACTTTTAAATTAAGTAACAAACAAACCGTCATTCGGACCATGATGTGATGTATCATGTACACAAAGTCGATAGCAGATCAGTCACTTTGTGTTGCATCCAACGAAATGAACCAAAGATATACATGTACGCATGACTATACTCATATACTCATGCCTGCATGTATCATCATACAGACTACCAAAAAAAAAAGTGCAATATTCAGAAAACAAATAATTAAAACTGTTTTAACATTTTTTTTTCTTCAATGAAATTATTTATTACATGAAAGCCTGACTATTTCTCAATCCACTTCTTTTTTACCCCATTCCATTTGGGTCCCTAGATCTAGAAATACAATCAATTAAGTGAAAGATTGTAAATTACTTGGGCCACTCTCACCTGTGATGTCACTAACTTCAATGCCTATTCAAAGCCTATTCAATACTTAACCCAGATTCAGCATGTCCAGTGCCTATTCAATGCTTAGATTCAGCGTGTCCAGGTGAGAGTTGCCCAAGTAAAATAATTGATTGTATTTCTGGATCTAGGGACCCAAATGGAATGGGGTAAAAAGGAGTGGATTGAAAAATAGTAATATATAATTTCATTGAAGAAAAAAATATTAAACATTTTTAATTATTTGTTTCCTGAATGTTGCACTTTTTTTGACACACTCTGTACATAAAGTCTTGAGACTCGAACTATTCTGATATAATAAACAATTTGTAACAACCTTTTTATGTTTTAAAAATGTTTACAAGCAGTCAGAACTTCACATAGGTCTGCATCCCCATTTTTAAAAAAAAGTGTTGTGTTTTTCTCTTCAGCAAAAAATATCCAGATATGGACACACTTGGTGAAATGGTGATGTCGGTGGTCAAGCACTTCGGGTGAGTGTAGGTCTAGATCTAGTGTCCATTCAATGTACGTTACACGTTGTGTGTGTGATACAAATGTACATAATACACAGCGCTCTGCAGAATGCGATGCACTGATGGAACGTGTGCGGCAGGATTCACGACTAGCAGCTCGATTTTTGAGAGTCCAAATTTTGACCCCCGAAATTCGTTCTCACAAGAATAACACAAAAACGCCCAGTTTTTAAAGGATGGTTGTCAGTTGTGTGGCCGTTTATATCCTACTTTTTTTTACTTTAAAATGCTCTTTCCATTTAACATCACTTCATTTAAAACGTGTTTTGTGGACCAATTGGTTGCATCCCAGGACGTAATATCCCTTTAACTAAGCATTTAGTTTGTTTTCACCATTGGTCCAGGAGTGGGCTAGTCTGAGTATCGCCCGTTATCCACGGAGCCAAGTCTCCTGTCTAACGTCTGATATGCCATAGCATGCAGATTTATGCGATCTTGCGCCTCAGCCAATCAAAGTCGATTTAATACTAAATCAGGACTAAACGTGTGATTGGTCAATTCAAATTCAGTTTTTTGTAATACAACAACAGCCGGGCGCGTATCGGGTAACATTATACAGAGCGCGTGACCACAGCCTTTGTTACTGTGTCTAGGGTATTTTTTTTATCCAACAGTGAATGACCGAAGACCCGATACAGAAAGCGCCTGCTCAAGATGCGGTTGTCTTGCATAATTAATCAGCGAATCTGCTCAAATGTTATAGACCATGGCGAGAACATAGACTAGGAGTAGGCTAACCCTGGGGTATTAAGAAGGAATGAAAGAGGGGGTTTGGAAAAACACATGAACCACTTCCTGGAGTACCAAGAGAATGATGAGAGTAGCCTATACATGTACACACACTTCTAAAATATACTGGTCAAACTGTCAAGAACACAACTAAAGCATACCTTTCCTACTTGTCGTTCTGCTAACCTGAGACAAGTTAACACAATAACAGGAAGAAGGAAACGATTATTCCCTTGTGAACCTCTGTACTTCCGTAATATATCGTTTGAGGTTAATGCGGAATCCATACCAGCTGTCTTTGCCCGGTAACCGGACTCCTACATGACTGAAACATGAGCAGTGCATCTCTGTCTGACAGTGTGGTATCCCTGCCTCCGAGGATTCAAGTTTACTTCAAGACGAATGTCCATTCTCAATGTTGAGAATGTTTTAGTTTTGACTCAAGAGTCACTTTTTTTATGAGGTTGAAATTTTGAGCGTCAGGGTTTTTAACATTATTTTGATATTTTTAGAACCAATTTCGAAAATGAGTAATGAGTATGCACTTCGAGTGCGAAATCCTCTTGAAACCCATGTGGGCTTATTGAAGAAATGGTATTTCAAAGTGCAGAATTAAATTCAGGAGCTACATGTACCCCTCTACACAGCAGACATGATATGGCATGGACTTTATGCAGTTATCTCGGAGGAAGTGTTCTTTGTTATTTAAATGTTGTAACAATTATTGCACCAAATGGTTTACTCACATCTGTCCAAGTGATACAAAACCCATTCTCTTCTGGCTTCTCCTTAAATGGGCTTTACGGCCTGAAAACCTCGAAAATGTTATGTTTGGATTGTTTACTTATCCTATTTCAAAGGTCTCGTTGAAAGAGAAAAGACAAAAAAAAAATCAGTTGTTTACATCGGACGCGACGAACATTTGGTGGCATACGCATACATATTTCAAGTCGTGTCCATTCGATGTACAGCACACGATGTTTGTGTGTGACACATAATACACACAGCACCAATACACAAATGTTGTTTCTCACACGTCCGCAGAATGCGATGCACTGTGGGGCAGGATTCACAACAAGCACTCAACAGCTCGAGTTTTGGGAGTCAAAATGTAGACCCCGGATCTTCATTCTCGCATGGTTCTCGCAAGAATAACACAAAAGTGCCCAGTTTCTAAAGGATGGTTGTGTGGACGTTTGTATATATATCCTACTTTTAAATGCTCTTTTCAATTGACATTGTTTTGTTTAAAATTTGTTTAAAATGCATTTTGTAGCCCAATTGTGCGCATTCCAGGAAGTATTGTATTTTTAACGTACATGTAAAAGGTCTACATTGAAGGGCTGATTTTGATTGTATGGCAGATTTGTCGTATAAAAAATACAGGAAATAATCAGGGTTGATTATTTTGTTTGACAGGTTGAAGAAGTTCATTGGTTTTGGGGTCGGAGCAGGAGCAAACATTCTGGCAAGATTTGAGGTGAGATTTGGGATACAATGTAAACAAAATGTCTCTACTTTATTTTTTAACTCATGAATGTAATTAACAAAAAGAAATTGTAGGCAAAGCAGAATACGATGGTGCGTGTGAGTGCCAATCATGCGCTGTAAAGGCAAATGAGCAGTGCTCTTGAGAAAAGTACATTTTGCTCGGCATATTTTGAAGTTGTAAAACGTTTAGGCCCTATTGTTAAAAAAAAAAAACAGTCACTTAGGCCAAAAAAAAAAGTCTCCGGTTTCTGGCATGGAGCTTGCCCAAAAAGTGGTGCGGCGACGCGGCTATTTTTTTTTTTTACCTGACTTTTTTGCTTCAAATGTCGGCTGATGACTGCAAATGGTGCCCGACTAAACTTAGTGCAAAATGTACGGGAGTCCAGAGAGTCCACATAAAGCTTATTCTCGATCATACCCCCATCTAAAAACACGTTAAAATTGTGCTGCAGCAGGATTCCAGTCAAACCAGTGAGTTTGGCGGTTTTGAGACATCATCTTTTATTGAAAAAAAAACTTTTTCATTTTGCCGACGCGCATGGCTACGGCGACGCGCGCGCATACCAGAAACCGGAGACTTTTTTTTTTTGGCTTTACAAATAGTACTACACTCTGCTCAATTCATTATTTTTTTGTGGGAAATTTGAAATGCGTGTCCACCTGAGAAAAGCTCCATATCCATACTATGAAACTCAATTTATTCCTCACTTTTTTGTTGGCCATTGTTTTTCAAATGATTATGAAGTCTTACTGCAAACTTAATAATTACGCAGTGCTTGAGAATTAGCAATTCAATTGGAAGATTAATTAAAGATTTAATTAGGCCCTACTCAAAAAAAGGACAAACAGTGTACCTTGAAAAAAATGCGTACATATTACAGGGACAGACAAAACACTGCCAAGTTTAATGATTATGAAGTCTTACTGCAAACTTAATAATTACGCAGTGCTTGAAAATTAGCAATTCAATTCGAACAGTTAGATTTAATTAGGCCATACTAAAAAAAAGGACAAACAGTGTACATACCTTGAAAAAACTACGTACATATTACAGGGACAGACAAAAAAACTGCCAAGTTTATGTGTGTAGAGTGTACTGAAGCAACTGTGCCAGCTCTAGCTATTGACCTTACATGTATGTGATCAATATATTGATGTGACTACATTTGCTGAGGCGCTTCCAGAAATCTGTCTTCTGCATTGGTTTGGGGGCCCCATTGATTGTGAATCAACGCTGCATGGGGTATTGCTTTAACTTAAGCATCTTTCCTGCACAGGACCTGCCACTGTTTACCGAGTTGCAATATGTTAATGCTGTTTTTAAGTATATTTTCTTGTACCTGGCAGTGACTTGACTGGGCTTTTTTTCTCAGAAAGTGTGACTTCACCAATGAGTCTGACGAATATTTTTATTTTTATTTAATATTTCATTTCAGTTTCAGTGTAAAGAACATTTATTTTCATCAAAAGCAAAGTTTTTTATCATGAAAACAAAAAGTAGTTATAAGGCAAAATAAAATTTTAAAATGTTAAGCGTCCCCACCCGCTTCCTTTTTGGAGGCCGCCTCCTTTTTGTTTTCTTGATAAATTTTTGACAGTGACATCATTTGGGCTGTGTGTTGCATCTAGCCCATATAAAGCTAGTATGTCATTTCCCGAGTCTAATGGTGGCCATTTGGGGAAAAAAATGGCGGCCATCTTGAAAAATAGCCTGGTCGGGCGGCCATTTTGGAGGGGGAAAAAAGGGCCTCCCGCTTCCTTTTTTTCAAAAAGGCAGGACGCTAAACATGTTTTTGTTTTTGTTTTTTTTGGCCTTAAAATGGAGGCATGATTTTAAAAAGCTGAAGCTTATAGGGGCATGCCTATACTTAATGCAAAATTGTAACAATCAAGAAAAACAGACAAACCAATAGACAAGTACAAATGAAACACAAGCAACAACCAAGGACGGACCGATGAACGTACAGACAACAGAGGTCAAAGATTTACAGAATAAAGAGACAAAAAAAACACTAGGAGGAAATAGGGAGCAAAACAGCTGGTCAGGACGGAGAAAAAGAATACTGTTAAGGCCAAAAAAAAAAGTCTCCGGTTTCTGGTATGGAGCTTGTCCAAAAAGTGGTGCGGCGACGCGGCTTTTTTTTTTTTTTACCTGATTGTTTTGCTTCAAATGTCGGCTGATGACTGCAAATGGTGCCCGACTAAACTTAGTGCAAATATATGGGAGTCCAGAGAGGCCACATAAAGCTTATTCTCGATCATAACCCCATCTAAAAACACGTTAAAATTGTGCAGCAGCAGGATTCCAGTCAAACCAGTGATTTTGGCGGTTTTGAGACATCATCTTTCATTGGAAAAAAAAACTTTTTCATTTTGCCGACGCGCATGGCTACGGCGACGCGCGCGCATACCAGAAACCGGAGACTTTTTTTTTTTGGCCTAAACTAGCTTGTCTCTGTTGTATCTCCATTTCAGTTGAATCACCCTCAGCTAGTGGAGGGACTGGTCCTCGTCAACTGCACATCTAAAACAGCCTCATGGGGAGAATGGGGCCAACAAAAGGTAGACGCATGTCCAATCTGAATCAACCAATCAGATGACTTGAGATATGACGACTTTTGGATTAGTCACAGTTCATCTCTATTGGCAGTGCTAGATGTACACTGGGTTCAGTATTTAATAGCACACCTGGCTCAGTATAAAACCCTCCTTTTGTTTGATCAGTCACAGACAGTCAAAAATTCAAACCTGTTCCCCTGCCATGCCTTTTACACAGGCTAGTCACTAACAGTCAGATCATATTTCTTGTAGGCACTGTGACAGTCAAATTCCATCAACAGACAAAAGCAGGTAACTGGTTGGCTCAGCTGGCTTATCAATTCCAGAACCAAAGCATACTGGTTTCATAACAATCGCAGCCAGTCAATCCTGCTTTATAAAGACAGGGAGCACTCAACTGTTTGAAAAACAAACAGTCACTTGATTTATTTTGACTGCTGGGCTGGCCTGATTGACCTTTCCAGCCAGAGAGGGAGGGTCACTGACCTTAAACCTACCTGTAAAGCTTTATACATGTATAAATACCACACGAAAATCATTGTAAATAAAAGGTCCCATCACTTTGGCCGTTGAGAGACTGTTGAGACTAAGGTCATGTTTCAAGCAGAAACATTTTAACTTGTTATTTGTGTACTGAGTAAAATATCACCTGTCACAAGATTTACACATATTTTGGCATGATTAAAAGTGGCTCTCAAATGACCTTCAAGTTCAATAAAAAAAAAGTAATCAGTTAACATATTTACTGTTGAGCGTGTATTTATGAGGAGCACATCAAATTAAACATCTGACTTTGTTTTTGAGAATATTCTCTCTGGAATCCCAGTTTCTCCTGTTGGCTCATAATGGTGGAATTTTAAAGTTTTGACACTTTCTTTCCCTTTGATCACCTTGACAGCTTTCCTCTTTCTATCTCCGAGGCAAGGGAATGACATCGTACAGTCAGGAATATCTTCTCTGGCATTACTTCGGAAAGGTAAGTAAAGCAAAGTCTCTCGCAAAATAAAACGGCTTGTCAGGCATGCATTGATCACCGCTTTCTTTGGTACAAAATACAGAAAATATTTCTATTCTTCCTGGAGGATATGCTAGTCTAGTGCACCCATAGCTGACGCTGGTGCCAATTTATACTCCTGGGTGGAGAGAGAGGCAAGTAGGGGCGAAGTGGCTTGCCCAAGGACACATCATATGGCCACCAGCAGAAGTCAAGCCCTGGCCCTCCGATCATAAGTCACATACCCTAATCAGTTGGTTATATTGCCCTTTGCTGTGGAAAAGGCACAGTACGCACATCCATTTTCTCTCGTCCAAGTTGACCCAAGTCGCCAAATTCTCAGTGAGTTATACACAAGGTTGGACAGCCCATGTTATATTTTAATTTGGTACATGTGTGTGTTGCACCTCCATACCATGTCAAGATTGTCAACTGTGAACAAAAATGCATAATTTGTAGGAAGTTTGAAATTGGTTTACAGAGAAAATGACATTTACAATATTGACTTATTGTAAACCAACCGGCGTACTCCTACGTGTTGCTGGGGTTAACACACATTCATAGGCTTTATTCGCGAGTCTGCCATAGTAAATTGAAAGCGAGGTTAAAAATCTTCGGTTTTTTTTGGAATTTGCAAATAGAAATGAAAGCAATGAAATAAACTTTGCTACAAATTAATACAAGTCTGCTCTGATGAATAATTTAAAACTTGTGATTCAGCAGAGTACCCTAATGTTTTAAGCCAAATTAAAAAAAAAAAAATTGAAGGAGGCTTGGAACGCATAAATAGTCTGGCACCATCCCATTCAACAGCTTACAATTTATAAAATACATTCAGGGAACATGATCAAAGATGGCTTTCTCATGAATAAGGTCTATTTGTTATTGTTGTCGGTTGCTTACCATGAAATATCTCGACATCCTGCCTAGTGTTGTAGTCCAGTCCATCGCAAGTCTGGTTCCAAGTAAATCACAAATGAGTCGCAATTCTGGTCACAAGCAACAGAGGATGCACAGTTTAATAGGGGTGCCTTTGCCACAGATCAGTGAAATGCCATTGACTTATTCGGGTGGCTTAGATCAAACTTTTAACAAGATCGTGACCGACTGGTCCAAAGCACTCATCTTGGCAGATGGATTCTTATAGCCCTGGAGAAGATATTTAGAAGGGGTGACGCCTGAAATTCTTTTGGGAAGGGTCTATCTATCTGCCAAGTTTGGTACTTTGGACCAGTCGGTCACTGACTTGGGACAGAATGACTCGTGATGGACTTGTGGGAACTTGTGAGTGAATCGACGACAACGCTGCTGTCGCCCAAATTGGTCTCTTGACAGAAGTGGTCATACTCAAGCAACTAAATTGAAGATTATTTCTTCCGCTTTAATTTATTCTAATTTTTTTCACAGAAAACAATGGAGACTAACCATGATCTGGTGACTGTCTTCAGGGAAAACCTGGCCAAGAGCGTCAACCCGTACAATCTGTCACTCTTCATCGACTCATACATCAGGTACTTTACTATTGTGCATCATGTTCCGAAAAACATGAGTCCCTTTGCCTTGTGGAAGTAAGAGAAATGTGACCTGTTCTGTCAAAATCAGTCTTTTCTGGGCATAAGGTCGAAAATGATATTTTTACATATTGTTAACATATGTTCTTTTTCCTTTTAATATGTGGTTTATTTTTTGAAACCGGTCATACCTGGGCAGAGTTATGCTATTTTGAAGTTCATTGTGTCGAAAAGTAGAAAACGGAGAAAATGGCCACGAACGTCACAAAACAGTTATTTCTTTAACTGATATACCTTATCAAAATCATCAAAAATAGTATATGTAGAGTTCAAATTAGGGTTTCAAACTTTTATAATATATTTTAGACATGTTCAGGATTACAAATATGCAAAAATTTGAAAATCGATCCCCAGTGAAAATCGACCCCCAATCATCCCCACAGCGTTTTTTGGCCCTATCTCAATTTCAACCTCTGCCCAGAAGCGTCTGCTTTTGACAGAACAGGTCACAAATGTGACCATCCACCACCAACTGGCTGGAAAGTCAAGAATTTATCATTTAGGGTTCAGGGTTATACGTATTCAGGAAAGCACAGCCCCAGCTTTGAAATGATACCATACTCAATGCATTCCTACTTTAGCCTCAAAAGTTGTGTAAAGATTTTCGAACCGATAGGTCCCCCCCCCCAAAAAAAAAAAAATTGTTTTGTCAATCTCTAACTTTGATTCTCTAAGGGTGAACAGTGTTCATTTCTGGAAAACAAACATCCTACTGACTGATTTTTTTGCAATATTTTTATTTGTATTTCAAACTTAAAATGTGCAACTCTACAACCAGTTTGTGGATGATCTCAAATTATTACTTCCAACAAAAATGTTCATTAGATGTGTCTCTAAGCTGTTTAATGAAGAAAATAAATGGGATCTTTTGCAAGAGCGAAAGTACAATAAAAAAAAAAGGGAGTTGTCACGACATTCCTCAGAAGCTGAGATTGGGGTGACCTTTTATTGCAAATTAATAAATACCTTGGAGAGTTGATGGTTTCTGATTGGTCGAGACTCGATCACGTGGCCGGTCATTAACGGTGATAATGGACCGGCTTCAAAGATCAAGCGAATAAATGGCCCCTGAACCAGCATTGATCCAGCCCCGTTCAGCCCCATGCAAGCCAATGATTGGTCAAAATATAGTAACGGTCCTGCGGTAGCTTTTAACAATTGAGCACTGCACATGCGCTCAACCCCCATCACGTGAGACTGACGCTTGCGTACGTAACACAGTTGCTAGGGATGCGTGCGTGCGCGCGCATAAGGAAGTTTTGAAACAACATCGTACAGCAGTGCAGTATACTGAGGATGTTTACGACGAAAGCGTAGATCTACGATTTATTGTCTTTGAACACTTCACCCACCGACATATTTACCTTTCCTAAACCAAGCATCTTTGTAATTCCGGACACAAGGAATGTGTAAACGAGATTTCAGCTTTCTCCATCAGGTAAAGATATGAAAACATTGTTGTAATTTGTTTCGCTACGGCAGCAGTTTCTGTTGAGTTTACGTCGTTATAGCTGTTAAGCTAAAATATGGCCCATGAACATGAACACAAAAAAGTCTGGAAATATCGCCGAAAGAAAGTCACAAAATTGGAGCATTTGAACTGTTTATTTCGTTATAAAGGTATTTATTAATGGGAATAACAGTGTGAGGATCCTCGACTTCGTCTCGGTCCATTAACAGTGGTCACCCCCACACCCGGTCATTATCACGCAGTGAAGACCGGCTCCTCACACTGTTATTCCCTTAGTGTGAAATTAAATTAATGCACATTTTACTGCTAAAATTTTGCTGAGATGTCCCGCATCGGATGACATGTATACAGTCGACTCTTGTTAATACAAACTCGTTCGGACCGAGCCAAATTGTTTGTTATATCAGAATTTTATTATTAAGAGGAACATCAGTCCCATTCATTGTGCACATAAATGCACAGTCGGGACCAAGGCCTTGTGTTTGCTATAGCCAGAATTTGTATGAACAGTGTTTGTACTAACGAGAGTCGACTGTACATGCAAAGTTTCTGTGGTATTCGGAACAGATGACTGATAAACATGAATCGAGCAAGGCCGCAACTATCTGTCAGCGACCCGCTGCGAGTGAGGCCAAAAATATCAGGGTGTGCTACCTGCAGATGTTGGCCTGAACCCATCTCACATCGATCTTGTGCAAAATAATCCCGCGCCTTGGTCTGGTCACTTTCAAAATAAACCCGGCCTGAACTGGTGAATTTCATATGAGAAGCTTATTTGATGTTTGTGGTTATGTTAAAGGGAAAATACAACATTTGCAAACATCAAAAAATAAAACTACCAAATCATTTTGAAATACCTTGCTCGACTGTTATTGAATGACAGTGTAAAGCATCCTGTAAAATCATGGCACCTGGTATACTGTCATTTTCAAGAAAAGTGGCATTTTTGTATCAATTTCCAACGCTGGTCGGCCGACCAGCGTTGGAAAAAACTGGGGTTTTTTTTCAAATACTGGCCCCAATTGACCATCGCACTTGTTTGCAATCGATTACACACCTATGAACGGGTACAAGCCAGCTAGACTGGTTCCCTCACCTTACAATTTCCCAATGTATGTTAACTGCTCTGTTTCTTCTTTTATGGAGTCGGGGAACCAGACTACAGGAAAATGATTGGTTTTCTTGGTTTTTATAGCATTTTCGAACCCAAAACCTCAAAAAAGTCAGTGTAACTATATTTGCTATATATTTCCAACCCCCCAATTCCATCCATTTCTGAAAATTACAGCAAAAGCAAATGATGTATATTCCCTTTAATGTAAAAATGGAGCGAACCTGATTTGCGATTACAGACGGACAGACCTGAAAATAAAGCGAGAGATGGATCCAGCCAAGAAGAAGGAGGCACGGACGCTGAAGGGAAGCATCATGCTGATCGGTGGAAGCAACTCGCCTCATGTTAACGACACAGTAGGTGGAACGATTGAACATTTGGACACATCTTTTTAGGAAAGATGCAGACAAGGCCTTTTAGTTTTTTCTAAAATCCAACGGGAGAAATATAACCGATTAATCGTGGGCAGATTTCTGTCCAGATCTTTGGCAGTGGAACGACATACAAATAATGGATGTTTATGGGTGCAATGGTAAGAATAATTTCATGAGGTGACAGATGGAAAGTTCCATTTGATGAGGCAAAGCCGAGTGGAATTGAACATTCCATCTGTTTTCCAATTTTTTTTTTTTTCAATAGGCCAGTTTCATCTCTGGTCTGGGCTTAGCAAAAAGTCTGTGTGTAGTTGCTCCACGTTATAGGCCGAGTATGGTGGGGTTACATTACGGCTGTTTTTTTCCCCACCCTTCAAACTCAACCTGCTATCAAACTCAACCTGCTATCAAACTCAACCTGCTATCAAACTCAACCTGCTATCAAACTCAACCTGCTATCAAACTCAACCTGCTATCAAACTCAACCTGCTATCAAACTCAACTGCCTTCCTTTTATTAGATTGAGATGAACGGCAGACTAAACCCAGAGAACTCTACATGGATCAAGATTTCAGACTGCGGAGGCATGATCCTTGAAGAGCAACCGGCCAAGCTGTGCGAGTCCTTCCGTCTCTTCCTGCAGGGCCTGGGATACGGTAAGCGGACTAACCGACGCATTGGTGCGCTTTACACTGATAGAGGGCGCTGTTCGAGTGGTTGTCAACCAACTTCATTTTCAGTACTTTTTCCACACATTGTATTATTATCAAAATTTGACCAAACACCTTGGGAAAAAAAGAATAAACTTTATTGCAAAGATAGTTTTATGAGATCTCTGTCATGACTGAAGGAAATTCTGAATGGCTTATTGAGGACAGCGCCCTCTGGAGTGTCTGGCACACAGCGTCAGTCTGATGCATGCGTGGATGTCAGTGTGCTGTGTTTAGTCTGTGTGCATGTTTGACTGTTATGCTTGTCAGAAGTGTTGTGAGTTGCATTAGGTGATGAAACAATGTGATGAAAATTTGGTAAATTTTAGATGTGGGCAGGAGATGATCCAAAAAATATGGGAAAATCTCAATTCTTATTGTAACCAGTGCTCTTGTGTTTTACGTCAATGTCCTATTAATTATTGTAATTTCTCTATGTAAGATGCCGATGGAGATACAAGTTTATAAGAATTCATGCAAAGTGACAAAGCCAGAATAGGGTTTTTATCTGAAGTAACAAAACACATTATGGTTATCTTAACAAGAAATAAATTACACACAGCAGCCACAATGGAAGTCTCCCATTCATACTAAATATTAATCAGTTCAAACTTGTAATTCACCGCAAACATAGCTTTAGATGGAACATCAAAAAAAGGATGGACTCTGTGCAGTACTGTGCCTCCAAAAAAATCAAAACATTGCAAGACTTTAGTGTGTTTTTTTTCATAGTCCACCCACTTTGAAATGACTTCCTCCCCGGGGAACAAACTGTGGATCAGCCCATGAGCAATAGAGGGCGCTATACAACCACTCAATAATATGCACGATGACTGCTTTATTCTGCATGTGCTCATCAAGACCATAGCATCTTGACCTGAGCAGCCAGACGTCTGGGGGCGGTAGTGTTCGAGAGTCTGCCCAATTCTTTTGTCACTGTTGAGCAGATGCTCAGTTGTGCATGAAGTCCATACATGTAGGACACGTTGAGTTTGAAATGAGGGGTTTGAAAAACCAGGGTGTGCATGTGATGTAATCTTACATTGCTTTGTTCATAGGCCACTTAACCCTATCCCCGTAGGAACCATCCTCAATCCTCCAAAATCACGCCGTACTTCTTGAATTTGTTCAGTGGAGGGATGAGCATTGCCTCAATCCTTCAAAATCCTCTAACAATCACTGTTAATAGGTTGAGGCAGTGCCGAGGTTGAGGCAGTGCCGATGACATTCAGAAGCAGTGCGGATGATATCAAGCATAATGCAGGGCTTGATTTTGCATGGCTGAACATGCTGGGTACAGCCTACGAACTCAACACAATTTATCCCCCAAAATCCACCGACACTTCATTGCATTCAGCCTCAATCCTCCAAAATCCTCCAAAACCGCCTGGAGTATTTTGGAGGATTGAGGGTTAGGGTTATTAAGTAGAATGTAATCTATTTGTCAGTGACTCCACCTTGCATGTACAACTTTCCTGTAACATATTGTACGTGACATGTCTGAGTGACTTTAGGCATCAAACTTTTCTATCCATGTTCACCTTTGACTTCTGTTTATGCTCTTTCAATCATCCTCAATATGGAATAGCTGGTGGTGAGTCACTTACTGTAGTTTTCTTTGGAGAAGAGCCTGGCATGAATCAATACTTTGAATGTCCCTTTTCCCTATCTTAGTGCAATTTGTTGACGTTGATTATGAAACAACTAAGTCTCACCTGTGATAACATGTAGATGAGTGGAATAGTTGTAAAGTGTTTGGCTTAATTTATTTTTTCTTTGCTAGCTTGAAAACTAATACTCTCCATCAAAATGACTAAACTACTTGTTTTATTTTGTTTTATTTTGGTCTTTTTTTATTTTTAAATATGGGCCTAAATTTCACTTTTAGTTACGTCATTTGAACTGAAAGCAATTTGGTCCCCGAATATACATGTAGCTGTGATAACCGCCAAACATTTTTGGTCAAGGAGTACAAATGTAAATCATTTCATATTCATTCAAACTTTAGACGGTTTGCCAATTCCTATTGGTCAAGAGCCCATCACATGGGTGGTTTTAAACCGCCGGTAAAGCACCGCTGTGTTCTGTGCCACATCACGCAGTATGTGTCGCGCGTGCAAAAAATTTCCTATAAGGAGATTTTTAACACTCTGTGCCCAAGGCACATACCATAGACATGGAGAGAGGGGTGTTACACAAAACATTAAGTAAAATTGTTGAACAAAATTGTTGAAAATTTATGAATTTTGACATGTTTTGACTTTTTAACCGAGATGTATTCATGAATGTGATTTAGCTCAGGCTATTATCCACGTCCAAGCCTCCAGCTGGTTTTAAACATACTCGTTTAAAACTGGCCAAGCACATATTTCTTTCCTCATTCATAATTGTCATTTCAAATGAATAGATATACATGTATGCAAAGTCACCATGGAGATATGCAAAGTCACCATTTGTGAGTTGTTGATTTCTGTAGTATGAAGTAATATAAGTAAGGCCAAAAAAATATTTCTGCTTCCGATTACATGGCATTCGAAAATAGGGTAGGTTGGTAGGGATTTTTTTTTTGGGGGGGGGCCAATTTTTTTGTGTACAATCATATGGAGGCGTCTGCGTGTAGTCAAGGGTAGAAATTGATGGTTTAATTTGGGTGTTTTTTTCTATTTTTCCCATAGGGTAAGTAGGGAAACCGGAAGCAGAACTATTATTTTTTTGGCCTAACCACCAGTGACGGAATAGTTACAGAGTTCATACGTCATCAGATAATTAGTTAGGGGTCATAGTTTTTGTGCAGTTTCATTGAAGGATAAAGTTGCTTTGAAAAGTGTTTTGTTCATAAATACGTGTCCAGCACTAAAACTCCTTGAAAGAGGCCAGTAAAATCCTGCAAATGCACTGTGTCAGATTATGAATATTTTAATAACATTTCTGTACAAAAAAGCCTTGCACATGTCAGTATATATGTATACAGGAATTGTTCAAGCCCTTCTTTTTTTCAGTGTCATCTTTGTCAGCGTAACTTGATTTTAAGAGGGTTTTTTTGGCCAGTGAGATCTATTGGCCATTTTAGAAATAAAGATGCTAATGAAATGCTAATGAACTATGTTTCCTTTTACAACAGGCATGCAACTTTTACTCGGAACAGCTAATTTCCTCTTTTTTTACTTCCCGTGTGTGAAATTTGAATTTCCTCCTTTTTTGTGACTACCCAGTTGCATGCCTGTTACAAACGGTAATTGCCATGCACAGATAACCTTCCGTGCGTTGAGATAGCATAGTTGCATTGTGTTTGTTACCCCCATGTACTAATCCCTTGCTTGGTTTGCAGTATTGAAGCTTCGGAGCTTGAGGCCAGCTCACAGCGCTGAGAGCTCGGACCTGCGAGTGACCAACAAGCCAAAGGCGGCGCCCTCACCTGTCTTTGTTTAGGAAACCCTCGGGTTATCTTTTCATTTTGGACGGGAGTCCCTGTTACACATAAGGCTTGTACAACCACATGTAGCAAGCTAAAATCCAAAACTTGGCCCAGCAAATTTCAATTTTTTTTTCAATATTCTGGTTTCATGCTACATGTATATCCGTCACTTTTTGTCACATTTGGTGACAGTTGAAGTTGGATTTGGGTGAGCTGAATGAATGATGTTTTAATCCTACATGTAGCTTTTGGATCATGTTGGATAGAGAAGGAATTCTAAGCAAAAAATTTGAGACAGGTGTATATTTGATGAATGAATAATAGGATGAACAATATATTGACATTTATGTAATTCCTGTTACATGGAGCACTGTAAGTGCCAATTTTCCACAGTAGTCCCCCCCCCCCCCCCCCATAGATGGAATTCAGACATGTTAACATTTAGCATATATGCACATTTACAGCTCAAACATGTTTACAATATAGTATGCCTGGTGAATCAAAGAGTAGGTTCATAGTTCATTATATGAAATTATCATCAGTGTGTGATTTAATCATCTGTACATCCTTGTGAAAATATACCAAATTAGACAACGCGGGTGTATGTATAGAAAAGTAAAAATTGTGAAGTTTTCCACAATGTTCCATCCTGATGAATGTAATACAAATATGATGTGTGCATTTGAATGGCTCATAAAAATCCAAATTTATGGTGTTTTTTTTTTGTGATCAGTCTTTATTAAGTCTTGAAAAGTTAATTTTTTTTCTCAGTTTGGTGCGACAGCTGATAAAAGTCAACTTGTTGCAAAGTAGTTTTTGTCACCGTAGAAATAGTAATTCAATAGTAGATTCAATAATGTACATGTATTCCTAAATGATTCAAGTCATTATTTTTCCGTGTATTTTACCAAATATGAATTTCCTTATAGCCTAATTGCCATTAAATGATCAAGCTGAGCTCTTTCTTTAACAAAATAAAATTTAAAGAGTAGAGATAAAATTATATAGATCACCAGTGATATTGTTCCTTGTACATAAATATATTACGGTGTCACAGTAATGTATTTTTTGTGTGCTTTTGTTATGATTGACCAATCGCATAACAAGTGTAATTATGGTACACATACACAAACAAGAATATTTATCTTATTGTACAATTTTTCAGATGAAAACCAAGTTTTATATACTAATTTATGGAACTTTTGTTGTTTCTGCTCTGTGTTTCAAAAATGTCTTCCTTTCAAATTGATTGCTATTGCATCTGTGATTTTTCCATGATTGAAAATTCATTTAGATGGACGAAAATGAAAAATAATGGGGTATAACCAAAAATATTTCACTTGTATCTGTTTTGTATTCACCATCAAGACTTATCAACTTTAATTTTTTAGTAATTACTATAACTAGGATGGAATTTAATATTCATGGGCATTTAGTATTGAGAGTTTATAGGAATCTAGATTAAAATCAACATTATTCCCGTAGTTTTTATTGAGAGTAATTTGAATTTTTCGAAAGTCGACAAGATACCTGGTAATCTCAGTTGATCATCCATTGGAAGTTTATGTTCGATGTAAAATGGGACCAGCTATGTTAAATAGCGCCACCACTTGTTACATTGGTTATTGTTATGCCCATTGTTATGTCCATGTACTTAGCAACACTTGTGTATCTGATCATGCAAATTCATTTTTTTTTTGTAGTCAGCATTACAACTTGCTGACATCTGGATTGTATTTCTTTAAATGGGAAATATGTTGTCATTTAGGAAAGTATGCATGATATTCCAGCTGATGACCATTATATGATTTTTGTTTGTTCTTGATAATTATGAAAAATAATATATATATGATTTGTTTATTTTGACATTTTGTTTCTCGGCATTGCTTGTCGTGATTTCGTTTTATTGCATGTTGTTTTGTGTTCCGTGTTACACTGCAATAAGTGTCTGCATGCGCATGCCTTGTCCCAGAAGAATGTGTCTTGGTACGAAAACGGTGCTATGACGTGTGATTTTGTACAGTGCTGTGTGTGACAAAACCATTATGTAAGTATATATGTATACGTATAAAAGCCTTAACTTCCTAACTGTATTGTTTGTCTAAAAAAATTTAAAGGAGGGATTTGTTGACATTTGTAGATGGTTGTGGTTTCTTTAGGATAGCCGAAGGCCAAATCAATCTAGAAAACTTTTCCTGAAGTCATTTTCAAACTATGATTAACAGATGCCTTATGAGTTAGGCTATATAGCTTTGAAGAAACACACACAGGGAGACTTTCTGAGTTGATACAGATTTGGCACAATTTGAGTAGGGCTGGGGTTGGGTGGAGCGGGTCCCTTCCTTTCTCAAACCCTACATTAGGGCCTCTAGGGTAAAGCCTACAGCAATAAGGCCTTATCCTAAGTCAACTGTATTGAAACGAAACTTGATTATATGCAATATGTAAACAAAGTTCAAACAACATAAGGTGAAAACTGCTGTACTAAATTTAGGGCAATCATCAGTTTAATATTTAATGAAAATGCATGTAAAAAGGCACAGAAAAATTAATTCCCCCATCCCATTTTCCCATTCTCTTTCCAAGCCCCGCCCTCCTTGGTCATGCATAATCATGAACAGAAGTGTTTATTGTTACCTTATACCGATTTCATTTACCGCTTTGTTTTCCCCTCCCCCTTTTGTCTCCTCAACCCCCATACAGTTCTCAAACTCGGAATTGTAAAGCAATAATCTGCCTGCTGGCCACGCCCTACCCACCTGCTGGCCACGCCCTACCCCTCCGCTTGCTCCTTCTGCCTATGGTATGTTCCTTGGCCAAAGTGACGTACGTATAAGCATGTACAAAAGCAAGTCGGTGATTAACTAGCTGGCAGTGTGTTGACGTCATCGAGTACGTATAAGCTTTTTAAGCCCGTTTCCCAAACATCGGCTTCGTTCTGATTCAGCTTCGTCTAGTCTGTGGCCCTGCAATGATTTTCAGGTCTTTAAAGCTTCAACCACGTGGAGAGACTCGAGGCAAATAAGGTTGCACACCCGAGCTCTCCAAAACATTAATGTTCTTTTCTCCTAACAACTTTTCAATTTGTGGGTTTTGTTTTGACGAAAAAAACTACTCAGATTCTGATTTTGGGTGCTGCAATGTGGATCCGTGCTGCAACCCTCTGAAAACCGTGCTTCAATTTTGCGTACAAAATTAATTAACCCGCCCTGCAATAGCCGAATTATTATGTTGCAGCCAATAATTGGAATTTTGTGAAGAAATAATTCAATAACTAAACGTCGGTGGATTTTTTTGCGTTCGATGTCTTATTCAAAAGTAAATAACTTTTATATTGCTAGGGGAGCAATTCAAAAACATCTATTTATCGAGATTAAACTCCAAAATAGCACGGGGAATGCATGCTTATAAGCTACATAATAAGAATGCTTATTGCAGAACCATGGACACAGCAGACTAGCGCCGACATTAATCAGTGGCCTTAAAATAATGGAACCCGAGTTGGAATGAAGCCTGGGCATGGGAACGGTAAAAATTTACTTACTGATGTGCAGTGGGGTAACCGTGACATTTATATGAGGCGTGCTGTGGTCTGCTTCGTCTCTGATTGGTCACGCGGATTAATAGTAAATCAGTCATGCTGTGATACGGTCTGCTTAATATTCATATATTTTCGACCAATCCGAACGAAGCAAAAGTGTTCTCTGTGGTATATGTTGTATTATATTACACATAGAAACAAAATGGTCACCCTGCACGGTTTCATAATTATGCAAGGTCACACAAATCTGTAACATACTTGATGGGATGACATAAAAAAAAATTGTATTTTTTCGATTATAAAGGAGATGGGAATATTAGATTTGTATTCGCATACAAAAGCTATCTTGGAGGTGTTTTTGTTTATCATGTTAATTCAATAATTGACAATGAAATCGTAATATGTCTAATAACCATGGGCGTCAATCGGTGGGTGACGGGGGTGGGGAGACATGTCTCTCCCCCCCCCCCCCCCATGCACTTTGCAGAGTGAGGGGGTATCATATCGTTTGTCCCCCCCCCCCCTTCCCCCCCCCTTTCGTCCACGAATAAAACTTGCAGCCTACATTTGATTCCAGTAGCTCAGAATAGCTGATTCACAGTCTCCAAACTCGAAATTGATGTTTAAATTATGATCTTGTGCTAAAAACAAATTGGTTAAAGTGATCAGAAATTGCCTCAGTTCGCACCACAGAGCGTCTATACAATCGAAACAAATTTCGGGGCCCCGAACCCCACGCCGTTAGGGCTTCGCGTTTCGCACTCGCATTAGTTCTGATCAAGGTATGTTTCCCCTCCCCCCCCCTCCTCAGTTTTGAGAAGCGATTGACGACCTTGAATAACACTCAGCCCTGTGGATCAAAGGCAGGATACACCTCCAAAATGGCTGCCGGGTCTGAAGCACATTACACGGGTTTGAAGCACGGGAAAAGAGAGAACAATGACGGAGTTTCTGTCCGTGGTATTTTAAAAAAAAATTGGAGGAGCGTGTTTTTGTAGAGAATTAACTCATCATTTCACTTACAAAAGTTAAATTAATCGATGAATGTTCATAGGCCTACATTTACAAACTAAATTGTACGCGCCAAAATCTATTTCTTTTCTGATTTAATCCTTATTTATTAAGCATGAGCATCCAACTGCTCTCATCCAATTAATGTGTGACTGGGTAGCGGAGGGCAATATTGAAGAGACTTGCTCCCCCCCAAAAAAACATTATGTGGCTACAGATACGATAACTAACCCTTTGAAAACAAGTGTCTTAAGTGAAAATAAACACCACGTATTTCTTAATTTCCCTATATTTCCCATTATTGTTGAACAAGTACACACGATTTAAGATTTGGAAAAATTTGGGGCTTTATTTTACGGATTTGCAAATTGTGCATGGAAATGCCACCCAACCGTATAGACCTAATCTACGGAGCTCTTGAGGTGCCATCCAATATGTTGAAATCCTGAGATAAATTTTATCACGGGATGACGACATCTTGCACGTATTAGATGTCAACATCTCGAGTTAATATATCACAGAATTACGACATGGTAAAACAAGAATGTCGACATCCTGAAATAATTTATCAATGGATATCGACATCTTTAGAGTAGGGTGTCGACAACCTGGGAAGATTTATCACGGGATGACGACTTCCTAAAAGTTACATTGCTTTCTCACCACTGCACTCCACTAAAGGATGTCGACATTTGACTTTTAGGATGTCTTCATCCTGGAAGTAATTATCTCAGGATGTAAACATCCTAGTTTTAAGATGTGATCATCTCTTGATAAATTATTATCTCAGAATGTCGACATTTTAAGAGTAAGATGTTGTCATCCCAGCATCTTGGATGGCAGGATCTCAACAACTTGGATGGCACCTCTAGAGCTCCGTAGTTATCAGTGACAGAGATTTAATATGGTGTTTCCATTTTATGACTCGAACCACGCGATCAAATGCGGGTGTATATAATTATATATCGATGTTCAATAAATACGCATGAGATGTGAAAATGAAGTAATATCGCAACGGACTTTTCTTGTGAATGTTTCTGTCTTTAACCTACACAGCGGCATTAACATCTATTAGATGTTAATGCCATTTTTGATGAACATTTTGCATAGTGTGGTTGAGGCTTCCGTACCCCCATTGATAGTGAACACGATAATGATAGCTTAGTGAAAAGAGAGGGGGGGGGGGGGGGGGGGGAGTGGTTCGCTTGACCACTAGTAACAGGCCCCTATTGACCAATCAGAGCACGCCACTCTGTACACACACGGAGGCCCCCTTCAATGGCGCCTATCTGACCAATAGCTGGCACAACGCCTTCAAGATGACGCGGTACTCGTCAGCGGTACTCGTCAGTGAAATCGAAAGAAAAAAATATCATTATCGTATATCATTGTTGTAAATTAAGACAAAGGCCTATTTAGGGACGGATCCAGGAATTTTTGCGGGGGTGGGCGTCATTGCCCGTCAGATGCTGTTTATGTCCCAGTGGCGTAAGAGGTTCAGTTTTGCGGGGGGGGGGGGGTTCGTGCAAAGGGCACTCCATGAGTGCTGAAATGTAAGAAGTTTTTTTTTCGTAAAATCACAAAGTAATGGGGAAGGGCTGGAACCATCTACCAATGGGGGCGCTGTTCAAATCGGACGATCATGCACACTATCGGACAATAGTGCGCATCATGCACACTATATTATACCCCCAAGCTGGCTACGCCTCGGAGTCCGATTGTTTCGAACAACCGGACATATAATTAGCCTATCAGTATATTTGTCATATTTTGGGGGTTTTTGGCGGGGGGGGGGGGGAGGGGCAGGGACAGGGGGCTGGATCTGCACCTGGGGGTGCACCAATTTTTCAAGGGGGCATTGAAGGCAAATGATATGTATTTTTTTTCAATTCAAGATTTCAAATGGCTGGGGGACCCGGGGCACGGACATCCAAGGGGGGGGGGGCGGCCCCCCCCCCCCCCGTAGTTACGCTATTGTGTATATACGCGTAATATAAGATATTTTGTCAGACGTTCATGCGCTGATGAAATTCCAATCGTAGTCTGTCAACAAGTCGGACACTTTGCTAGGAGATTCGAAATACGGACTGAAGAATGCGCGTGGGTAAACTTTACTCGTGGAATTTCGGTTGGTAGCCACGACCAGTTTACTCAACAAGTACAGATTTGCACTGGACAAATAGATTCAGTTACCTCTACCTACAAAAGCTTGTCTACTTTGTCTGCCTTTATTTATAGTACAAGTATAGGCCCATCATGTGCAAAATCACGGACCAATCAAGTTGTCTTGGAGAAAGCTTATATACATTCGGTAAAGATTGTCTTTATTTGTCAATTAAGGGAAAAGACAGTAAATGTAGACATTTTATTTTGACTGAACATCTAAGTTTCCGTGCTAGATTCTATCAGGGATGTGAGAATTTCAAGTTGAAGTTTGTCCAGTTTTGTCGTGGTTTCGCATCCGAACCGAACATCGCATATTATCCCCTTGCACAGCAAGGGTCTATGTGAACAGATTCGTCGATTAATTATGCAAAACAAGACTGCGTCTTGATTCTGACCATTCAGCGGACGCCTCCTAATATCGGGTCTTTCGGTAACCCGTTGTTGTATTACGAAAACATGGCCTCCAAATGACCAATCAACAGATAAGTCCACATTTCTGATCGAACTGACGTCGCATAAAATTTGCATGTTAGGCTATATCGGACGTTCGACCGTGGCTCTGCACACGTGATTTTATGATAGTCAGATCGTTCTGCGTTGATCCTGCTATTATTTCCTCGGGGGGAAAATGAGCCTAACGAGCATTTCGGACACGCTCGTTTCAGTCGATCGTATGCATGCCTATCCTACAGCGGAACAAAACACTACCGTCTAAACACGGGGTATGATAGCACGTTAAGTTACTTTCTCCATCCCGAAGTGCGTCACAAAACCTGATGGGAGACTAGACAAAAATAGAGGCCAGACCTGCAGAACAGGCAAAGGAGACAATTTGGTCAAGAGAAAGCGGGCCAAGGACGGTCAAGCAAACACCATGCAGACAGAGAAATATAACGAGTTGCGTCGATGGGCCAACTTGACTTTGTTTGAAGGGGGAAATGAAGCTTGTTCCCATGGTTAGAAATCAATTTATTCACGGTCGTCTATCAGATTTGACAGGAGTGAAAAGTACAACACACCCCTTAATAAATGGTCTTCTCAGCTCAGACAATGTCCTGCAATCACGTCTCACTGATGCAAAAGTAAAAGATGTATGATTGACAAAATACTGATCATCTGAATACCCATGACACTCCCATTAATGGGCTAAAAGAATGAATAAGATTACATCATTAAGGTTTTTACCCTTGTTTCCTTTCTCTGTCGGTCCTCATCTCTCGTTCACCGTGGCCGCGTGACTCGCTCCGCCGTCAAATGGAGCAATCAGCGGGGAAGAGTTTACCGCCCGAGGCCCGTTGGGCTCGGTGGGCTCTACTCCCGCTGCTTGGATTGATCTGCAGCCTCAGGCCTGACCGCAGCCCTGTACTTCCTAAGAATACTTACTTTTTTGATAATACAAATCCATAATTACGCCGTGAAAGGGGTCAATTTGAAGGCTTTTATGTGTGAAGTTGCAAGTGTTTACACTGTTATTGTTGATGAGGTAAAACGTGAAATCGACACGGGCTAACTTTCATTGGACCAACTTCGTAAACTTGCCGCTGTTTTTTATAAGGCAGACTACGATAAAAATAAAAAGAACAAGAAAAAGTAATAACCTTTATGAAATGATGCATCATCGATTATATTTCTGATATTTGACACTTTCATGTCACAGCCACTTTTTCTCGATTCAGAATTTTTGCGAGAGCAATGTTGTAGATTTGCTTTTTCTTTTCGTTTAACTCCCATTCTTGAATTATCGTCTTTCTATGCGTACTTTTTTCCCCAGAATTGTCGCCATTATTTTGTAACGTTTGTAGCTTACTTTTTAAATTTTAAATAAATATGTAATAGGCCTACTATGGATGAAGAAGTCCTTTTTTCAAAATCCTTAATATTGCAAAAAAGTCCCGCTTTTTCGCTAAATTAAATTTGTGGAATTGTTTTCCGTTTTACACACTCAGTGTCTTTTTTTGTAAAGACAACTTCTTTCTAATTATACCTTCGACCGTTCCTTGCATTCACACACGGAAGAGGAATAAAAGTGAACAATCATGTCTTGCATTTCATCAATATTTTAAAACTCCATTTTGGGGCCAAAATACGCTAATACTAATTACAAATCGCAGCTTAATTATGACTTAGGTTGAAAGCTGAACCTTCCCCACTTTAGGCACAACATCACGAATCTGCAGTTTTGCCCAATTGCTGCCACGGTGGATGGTTGGCTAAATTCCCTCCCCGGAAAAAAGGTTCTATAAGTGCAGAAAGTTTAGCTTTTCTTCAA